TCTCTGTTTGGTATAGGATGATATCAAGTCTGATTTTGTGTGCTCGTTCGTTTTGTTCAATCATTCCGCATTTAATTAACAAGTCTTGGGTTGTGGGATTCCATTCATTATTAATACAATATTTCCCCCCCAAAAAAAAAGAGCCCGATCGATGTGAAAGCTTCATGAAAACTTTGGACCCATATCCTGCGTGATTGTCACCGTTCGATCCAGACATCACAGAAGCCAAGCCAGTACGCATTTTCCTATATGATAATAGCGGATTCATAATTAAGAACAAAGGCCAGTAGATACTACAATGATCTAACTCATCCATATACACGTCCATTCTCTTCATATTCTTAGCATCCAAGGAAGCTAGACATCATGTAATTAATTTATATTGGCCAGGCGTTCAGAGTTCCAATCACAAGGCCTTAAATTTTCAAATTTGATACGAATTAATCAATTTGGAAGTGGGTGTTTAATTATTTTATGGCTATATGTGCTGCTTCCACTGATTATTTATGGACCCCATGTCATTTAAGTAAAAGGGGATGGCTAAGTCATGGGATTTCAAATTTCGCTAACATGATTGTTTAATATTCTTGGTTGAAGCATATATAGACGATAGAATGAACTATAATTCAGTCACGCATGTACGCAGGTATGAAATTAAACAAATATCACTGTTACAAGGGGTATATATATATATATAATGGCCAGTGCTAATAAAATTAGCCCAATAAAAATTGGCATGCCCATTAAAAATGTGATTCGTACGTTTCCAAAACTTGACTTGATTAAAATTTAAGTTTTTGTTATAAAAGGAAACAAAATTTGTTGATTGGGAATGAACAGTAGGGGGGCAATGTTAGTGGGAAGTGTGTGAACTGCGAAGGGCGAAGCGCGGAGACAGTGGAATGTTTGAACTTTGAAACGCAAAACGCGGGAGGAGGAGAGAGAATGTGAAATGGAGTGATCGAGAGGAGAGGGAACAGAAGGCAGTGGGAGGTGGGTCCCGGATATATCGCCATATGCGTGGCCGTACACGTGGCATTAGTCAGAGCAGATGGTGGGGTGGGGTGACGAATATTGAGGTTTACGAGGAAATAACAAAAGAAGACAGAGAGAGCTAGAGATAGCTACGTAGAGGAATAGGGACATTTTAGTTAGAGAAATAGTGGGCCACAGCAACGTCAAAATCTTGGAAGGTGTCCGAGTGGGCCCTCGCTATATTCTCCTCCCTTCTCAAGCAAAGCATCATCCGTCCATCGCCATGTCTTTTCCAACTGTCCGCCTTCTTAACATGCAGTACAGTGCAATATTCACACCGTGTCGCTTCCTTAATTCACATCAGCGCACAATATTGGATATTAAAAATCAGATTCACGATCACAACACGGATGGCTATTTTGGGTGGCAAAGAAGAGGGAAAAAGAGGGGAGGGGTTGAGGGGGAGGGCCTGGACCGGGGGTTGTTGGCGAAATGTCACGTGGACCAAATGACCCGTATGTCACTGCCGACACGTCACCCATCCCAGCGTCGGCCCCTGGATTTTGCGTTCTTTCTGCCAACCAGTTTTCTCCGTCCCCGATTCCACCCGGCGTGATCCACGCAGCCCCATCTTCCTGAGCCCACCTCCACCTCCTGACCAGGAAACAAAAACAATCGCCGTAAGAAACCGACCATCAATTATCAATTAGTCTAATAATAGCAATGGAACCCAAATTCTTTCTCCCTGTGTGTATCTGAGAAACAGCTATTAGATAGAATTATCCATTGCCTCTGTCAACAATATTTCACGCTGCGTGAGATATACTTCCTGTAACGTCCCTAGTCAGTCAGCGACATTTTGTAGAGGTATTTTCAGAAATCATGGTTTTCTTTTTTCCCTTTCAAAAAAAAAAAAGTGCTATAGATCAGCAAATTTAACTGCGCAAACGTCTCAAGAAATGGATAGTGTGACTATGCGAGTTCGTCCGTCCAGGTTGTGCTGACATAGTGTATTGCTGCTACTATTCTTTTTTTTTTTTTTTTGCTTGCTTGATTCCCGCTGTTCAAATATTGACTGCTAATTTAGCATGCGCGTGTATCGTTGGTCTATTTGGCAATAATTTTATGTTACACGCACATGACGCGTCTTTTTTTTCCCTAGCAAATCAATTCTGTAAGAAAATCTGTTTCGAGGTATTTAATGCTCCACGTTTTCAATGATATAGGTTAGGTGATCATGTATCTGTGTGTGTGTCTCCCCACTCTGTTTGTTGTATCCGTCTGTCTCTGGCGAAAACTTATAGTCGCATATATGCGTGTGTAGCCGAGGACTGGTGTGGTGTTTTCTTTAGCCACGCATGGCTCTACTTTGACACGTGAGTCTTCATTCAAATGATGAGGGGTCGGTGGATATTTATATAACGATCCCAGCACTTGGGTCTTGAGTTCAAAGTTGAAACAAATATCATACTATATCTGGCCTTAATATAAGAATTAGTTAACTAATTTGAGTAAATTAAAAAAACTAGTTAAGTTAGTTATTTATAATAAATATGTGTTGTTTTTTCTAAAATATTCTTATTAATCAAGTGTATTGGCTAAAACTACCACTATTACCATGATTACATTGTTAGAGACAAATATGAAAGATAAAATAGATTGAGATATCATATTTAGAATAAAAATAAAAATCAAACGAGTTTTTATATTAAAGACCGGAGGTAATACAATATATATATATATATGCCTCCCGTTCGAAAACCGAATGATGTATAGTGAGTTGCCATACGCTCAGCAGCATAAATAAACACACCACAGTGTTGCTCTTCAGCCCAGACATCATTAAACTAACACGATGTAATGATCCTTAGTTATATGATCAAAAATAAAAAAAACATAATGAATATTTGTTTGTAAGAACTAAGAACCTCGCCATAAAGCACTACGTCATTTCTCTTAATCAAGTTTCTTTTTTTGCAAGTACAGGTATTCTCAGGAAGCAATCCTCCGCGTCATTTGTTTGCTTAATCAAGATCTGAAATATCTACATTTGTCATTTTGTTCACCTGTAATGTTTTGGTTGGGCCCGTCCATGTGGCTGCTCAATCGGTTTGCGTCTTCATTGAACACTGCCTTATCCGTGGGCCGTAGGGGTCATGGGCGCTGATTGGGCAGGTCTGAGGACTTTTCTTTTCCGTTTTTACTCCTGGTCTTGATGCTCATCAATTGGGCCGGCCCGATGACTCATTTCTCCACGTAGTCCTTCATTTGGGAGCGTGAGTGTGAGACCAAACTCAACACTGCCATGCTTTAAAAACACTAAAAAAACTAACATCTCATATCATAAGAGGGGAAAAGACGCCCTTCGCATTTTTGCCCCGGGGAACAAATTCTTTTGGACTAGATGGGGTTATTTACCAGTAATGTTCTTCTGGTTTCTAAATCAGATTGGCAACTGGGAGTGTAGTTACTTGGAATTTTAACGGTGTTAGTTATCAGATTCTTCATTAAATATCTGACATGTCGACTGAATTCGTTTAAACACGCTATAATTATTGACGATGAGCTGGGAAAACATCTATTATATTTTCATTTTTTTAACAAATAAAATGGTTTCTGTATTCCTATTCATTCGTCTGAACCGCTGGTTTATGTGGATTAATTGAGTGAGCAAGCTTACTGAATCTGATCCACGCCAACTCAGAAATTTGTAAGATTAGCGCTGTGATTGGGTAAGCAGAGAGGTGTTTTCATAGAAGGTTGCTTCCCGTAGGATTAATTAGTTGTGATTTTATGACTCGGTGTTTGACCAAATCCATGTGGCAAGGGTGGAGAGAGAAGTTTTAATTATGATTTTTTTTTTGTCGCTTCAGGCTAAAGGATAGGCTTTTTTTTTTTCCCTCGTTTGGGGGAGGGGGATCGAAGAGCTTCCAAGTCAGCTTCGTATGAATGAATAATACATATACATCCGCCTCGGTAATCCAGTCTGACTTAGTTTGTTGTCAAACTAATTTGTCCCACTCCACAATAGCCTTCAGATTCTTGCATAAACGCCGCATTTTCTTTTGGACGGCAATAATTTTTCAATCTTAATCTCTGGTCATATCTCCCCATCTTAACGCAGTGGAGAGTGACTGACTTATCACAATCAGACAGGTAAATGATATCTTTTTCTGGGGGGTTATATTATCATGACCAGTAAATACTGTGCCAGGATGGCATCAATTTCTTTAATTTACGATACATGCTCGATATTGACTAATCAGTTAACAACCCGTGCGTAGTACCTGTCTACGTCCATCCATTATATAAAATCGACAGAAAACCACCCTATTTATAAGTTATTCGGCTTACTCCTCATAAACAGCATCGATCCAAATAAACATGTATTTTGGATGCAGATAGTCTCATCCTGGACGTTTCACTTGAAAAGCAAGTTTAGCTCCGCGCGCGAGAAGGATATTAATAATAAAGCGTAGATTCATTAGGATACTAGCGCACGTCGTGGCCACTGCTTTTCTCATCGGTGGACGTCCTTATAAATTTAGCCAGCCTTCTTTCCACCAACGACCAACTTTTATGATATTAAGAATAAAGCGTAGATTAGGATGTAAGAAAAGCTTAAAGTCCTTCTCACTTGCTCATGTTAAATCTGAATGTTTTCTGTTTATTTTCGCGGGAGATAATATTTATTTTGATCTGTGAATGAATTAAAATTAGTGAATCTTGTAGTAAATGGAATTGATACTCTTTTTATTGAACTGTCATAAATATATATATATATGAAAAATGAGAAAGAAGATGATTTTCGTTTTATGCGCGGGGAATCCGCATTAGGTGGTAACGTGACAGTCGTCCACCTCGAAAGAACAATGGGCCGTCCACTCAAAGCATTACAACCTGGTGGACGATGATGTACGACCTCACTTCTACTATAAGCTTACTAAGAATTCAAAAAATAGCGTCATTTTTAATATATATATATATATATATATATATTTGAACTAGTTTTCCATTTTACAGTTTTTGAGACAACGTGAATTTTCCGATTCTAGTGGCAGTTGCCAAGGAAAACTGTAACCAGACTCCCAATTAACGTGCCAAAGCTTCACACACACCCGCGCGCACCATACAGGAGACGTTTTCAGATCTGAAGCCAACATCCGTTTTCATCATGGTTACCCGGAAAATGGAGCAGTTCATAGATAACATGCCGTCAGTGGACCTGATGCGCTCGGAGAAGATGACCTTCGTTCAACTCATCATCCCTGTTGAGTCCGCTCATCGGGCCGTCACTTATTTGGGCGAACTCGGCCTCTTCCAATTCCGAGATGTAAGTTCCTCCTCAGATCCTAACTTGCTTCTGACTAATCATGTCTGTTCCCCCCCCCTGCTCGTCTTCCTCTTCCATTCCCCTGTTCCTTCGTTTAATACGAATATTAGTTTTCTGAGTTCGAGGTATTGTAATAGTTTAGTGTGAAGTTTTTGCATTTGCCGTTGTGGGCGGTCGAATCAGTTTCAGTTGAGCTGACGGCGAGCCCCTGCAAATGATGACATCGCAGCATTATTGAATTCAATGTTGAATGTAAGTTGATCAGAATTCAGTGCTGGCATGTGGATTTAATGATAACTGGATTTCTTCCTGCCGTCTTATTGGACCCCCCTCATGTGAACATTTCCTGAAAACTGATCCAACATTCAATTTATTTTTAAATCAATAAGACATGTTTCCTGGTGTGTTGCATATGCGAGTTGCATTATATCTCCTGGTATACTCATATATATATTGTTGAGTGTGTAAAATATGGACAACTACGTTATGGTTGACTGTTAGTTTCGCAAGTTCTTCAGATTTCCCATCCTCATCCATTGTGAGTGATATCTTGTGCCAGTAGTTCAGAAATGATGACTGGAGTTCCATCAATTAGGTCATGACTACCTAGCAACTTGCTTAAATTTATTTTTTCCTCTGTTGACTCAGGAAGCCAAATGGGAAACCGGTTTATTTGGTTCCTATGTAGTTCTATCCTGAGTAAATGGATATGGAACTCTGTTGATGATAACAAGTTTTACTAGCAGTCCGGTCAAATTGATCTCACTTATGATCCACTATGTTTTATACTCGTGTTAGAGGACTACTTATGGTAATGGTTGTTGATGTATGTCTGATGCGAGTACTTATTTTCGATGATTGAAAAGGACACTAACTGTTGGCTGCTTTTTTACGTTAAATAAAATGAATAACAATTGGTGGACCACGCATTTGTGAAACTTACTATATGTTTCAATCAGGAGGTGTAGCTTTTCCTGGATCCAGACTCCTGTTTGCGTATTATCTGAATTTGCTGGGTACACAAAAATTTTGAGGGCATAATCTCTTTTCTGTATGCCTACAACAAGAGAGATTATAAATGCGGTGGTTTATTTGAATTTTCAGTGTTATATATTAGCATTATTTTTTTATTATGTATCTCTTGATGAAGGGTATTTTGAAAGGTAACTTTGCTGCTGAGTTTTAGAGTTGGTTTTTATCTTTTTTATTTGCTTTCATAGGTGAGTTCTGGAAGTACTCTTTGGTTTTTAACAAATCGTGGCCTTAGAAGTACTAGTGAGCAAAAATTCATGCTTCTGCGATATCTAACCAATGCATCTCTTTTTGACATGCTTTTCTCTTTTGCAGTTAAATGATGATAAAAGCCCTTTCCAGAGAACATTTGTTAACCAGGTATTTTTCACCTGCACTAACTAGAAATTCCAACAAATTCTGAAATCTGAGTGCCTCAGTATCATACGTTTTGACATCTTATTTGCATGATGACTGATTGGTATTACTATGGGGATGTCAGTCTATATTTGAAATTCAGGGAGCTGGCAAATTAAAAAAAAAAAAAAAGAAAAAAAAAAAGAGATAGAGAGAGAAATTCAGGGTCCATTCTTATGCCCAGTTACTGTAGTTCCGTATCCTTGTGTCACTGTATTTGCAACTTGGATTTACTTGTTTGAAAGGGAAAAACTAATGATAATCAGGAAGACAACTTTTGTTGATGAAATCAAATCTAATAATTGCTCTGCTCCTCAAAAGTTGTTTTCTGAAACTTGTAAGTTGGCTTAACTTGGTGAAAGAAATTGCTTTTTATTCACACAGACACACAGAGAGAGATTGCCTTTTAATTTTTTATCTTTTTTGGAATTAATATCAGCAACATATTAACTTTGTGGTCTAATGCTTAAACAATGTATATTTTGACACAAGATATTATTATCACTCTTCTGCAATCATGATATATATATGTTGAAATGATTTTTTTTTAATCACTGATATCAAATGTATTTCTTTACTGGTAGGTCAAGCGATGTGCAGAAATGTCAAGAAAGCTACGATTCTTCAAAGACCAAATCAACAAAGCTGGTCTTATGTCTTCTCCTCATCCTGTTTTGCAACCAGATATTGAGTTGGAGGAACTAGAGGTCTTTGTCTATTTTACTTTCTACTCTTCCAGATATAATTTGTGTCCTAGGCTCTGAATTTGAGTTATTTGATGCTAGGCTGCTAGCAATAACATGATTCCGTAGAAGTTGTTGCTTAGCAATTGGCCACTCTATAAGCAGATTCTTTATACTTGAATCTGACAATATATGCTCTTTTGGATTCATGTTATTCCAGTATCAACTTGCTGAGCATGAACATGAGCTAATTGAACTGAACTCTAACAGCGAGAAACTTCATCAATCATATAATGAGCTCCTGGAGTTTAGGATTGTTTTGCAGAAGGTAATTTTTCTTGCCTATTTGTGGTGAGCATATTGTGTTATTCTTAGAGGTAGAAGTACTAAAGGTTCTACATCCTGCTGTCTATTTTTGTTATGATTGTTTTCACATCTGAGTTTCCTCATCAAAGAAAGGCCTTTCTGATCACCATATAGCATTGGTTATGTTCCTCATCTCACATGTTATTCTGCTATATTACCGCTCTCATGTACAACGTCAAATATTAATGATACCATGATCTACTGCCACAACAACTTGATTGCTTTAGTATGGAAATGCCTTCAATACACTCCCTTGTTTTATGTATAAACTATGACTGGGGTAAATTTCAGGCACATGGTTTTCTGGCCTCAAATCATAGCCATGAATTTCCAGAGAGGGAGCTGGAGGAGCATGTATACTCAAATGATGGTTTTGTTGACACAGGATCTTCACTTGAGAAGGTTGCTCAGTCTTCCATCATCTAATGGGAAAAGTGTGAAGGCTTTTACTAAATTTTTAACGGTATTTTCTCTTCAAATCTTCTCATTATAAATTGTTTATTTTACAGGAAATGAAGCCTGGCTCATCATATCAATCTGGTTTAAGATTCATCAGCGGAATAATTTGTAAATCCAAGGTTCTTAGGTTTGAAAGGATGTTGTTTCGAGCTACAAGAGGCAATTTGCTTTTCAATCAGGCTGCAACTGATGAGCTCATAGAGGATCCCGTTTCAAATGAGAAGGTTTTTTTTTTTTTTTTTTGGGTTCATTTTCCTTTCTTTCATATTACTTTTGAAGGGTCACATAAATTATCTACAATCATTTCTAAAACATTTTTTTAAAATTTGTTATTGTTGTGACTTGTCCTGTTTGCTGCCGACTTATGTTGCCATTAATGTTTTCTGTCCCTACAACCTGAACTGTTCTTTTCAGATAGAGAAAACAGTGTTTGTCGTGTTCTTCTCTGGGGAGCAGGCAAGAACAAAAATTCTTAAAATCTGTGAGACATTTGGTGCACATTGCTACCCTATCCCTGAAGATATAACTAAGCAAAGACAAATAAGTAGGGAGGTGAGTATACTGAGCCTAGAAGGAAATTTCTATGTCCATCCTCCCCTCCCCGCGCGCTGGGGGGGGGGGTTTTATTTCTAGCCTATTCTATGCTGGCTCCCCCCCCCCCTCTTCAAAATCTAAATATACTCTGCAAGAGATTGCATTTTTAAGTTTTCTTTACAGTACCTTGGGGGAATGGACTCAGCTGTAGTTTTTTGCTCCGCCCATTCCTTTTTCCTGGAGGGGGCATTAGACCTAGTGCTGCATTCATTCGCAACCAACTATGGCTTGTCTTTTATTTGTTTGATGTTGTTCAACATGTCATCATTGCTGAGCGTAAATATGCAAACTCTGGTGTTTGTGGTTGAAATTTTGGTCTTCGGTGATAGGTCTCATCACGCCTTTCTGACTTAGAGGCGACTTTGGATGCTGGGATTAGGCACCGGAATAAGGCCCTAGCTTCTGTAGAGGCTCATCTAGCAAAATGGATAAACATGGTAAGCCATAGCTCATTTATGGTATGAATCCCTAGCTGATCAGTGTGCAACTGACAATTATTTATGATTAACTAATGGATTGCACCATGACCATCTGCTCCTAGGTAAGAAGAGAGAAGGCTGTGTATGATACCCTGAACATGTTAAATTTTGATGTCACAAAAAAATGTCTCGTTGGAGAGGGTTGGTGCCCTGTATTTGCAAAAACGCAGGTACCCTGCTTTTAGTTTCCCTCGTTTTATTTTATCCTCACCTACTTCTTTCCTTATAATTTTGGAGAAATTGAAGATGTATTTAATTTGGACACTCTGACAAGGGTATTGCTCTAACATTTTTCAGATTCAGGAGGCACTGCAGCGTGCAACTTTTGATAGCAGCTCTCAGGTTGGCATAATCTTCCATCCAATGGATGCAGTGGAATCACCACCCACATATTTTAGGATCAACCGCTTTACGAGTGCATATCAGGAAATTGTTGATGCATATGGGTAGGCATAATGTCTCCTTTGTAGCATGCTTTAACTCCTGTATTTGGTTGCAGTATCAGTAAATTGAACGGAATCTGTATGTTCTTTCTGATTAACCATAGTATAGGAAGATTCTTTTTGTATCTTCTCTTGAAGTGAACTGCTCGAATTGTCTCAATGTTGTTTTGGCCTGACTTGGTGAATTGAGGAGTAAAATTAAGGTTTGACCTTCAGGTATGGAGAGGGAAAATTTTCTACCTTTAGTAGGACTTCGGTTTGGCACTAGCCCTTTCCCACCCCTGATTTGCCACTAGACTTGTTTGCTTGTCAGAAAATCCATCCTAGATCGTGTAAAATTTTTGTAGCTATTGAATTTTATGATTTGATTCGCCAAAACTTGTTTTATTATAGTAGCTTGTATTCTTTCATTTATCTCGAGAATGTATCATAGCTCAGATAAACTTTCTAGCTTATTAGATGACATTAAGTTGGTAACTTAGAAATCAGATAAGATATCTGATGAGCCCTTTTACTTGGCAGTGTTGCAAGATACGAAGAAGCAAATCCTGCAGTTTACACAGTTATTACATTCCCGTTTCTTTTTGCGGTGATGTTTGGGGACTGGGGTCATGGAATTTGCTTGTTGCTGGGGGCATTGGTTCTTATAGCACGTGAAAGCAAGCTCAGTAAGCAGGTAATTTGGTTCCAACTGTGGCATAACTAAAATAAATATGGCAGTATGCTGTTGTTGTCAGAAATGCTATTTACTGCGAGCTATGAGTACGTAGTGTTATTTGTGATTAGCTGAAGGGTGTAATTTTGGTGAACTTATAGGAAAGTCACTGTAATGTTATACCACGAGTCTATGCTAATATTTCATGCAAGCGCGGGAAAAAATGGACAAAGGACTTGTTACTTTTATTCTGCTGTTGCCCCTGGATTCGAGCATCTAACATCTCTATTTACCTTTCGCCAGAGACTTGGAAGCTTTATGGAGATGATATTTGGTGGCCGTTATGTGCTTCTTTTGATGTCGTTGTTTTCAATCTACTGTGGGTTAATCTACAATGAATTCTTCTCTGTTCCTTTTCACATTTTTGGGAAGTCTGCTTACACATGCCGAGACACTTCATGTAGGTATGCACTATTTAACATTCATCTCTTTCCATCTGGTGATTCTGGTACCAATTGAGTGTTTTGTGTTCTATTTCTTGGATAGTCATGCCTTACCTGTTCATGCCTTATGTTGCACATTTTGAGTTCACATGTATTTTCATTGCTTCTCCTTCAACTCTCTGGCACTCCTCTTCCAAGCAGCAATGGGGTAGTTAATCAAATTATCATTATCGAAATATTTACTAAAATACGTTTGTTGATTCAAATCATTCTTCTGCTTTTCAAGTTCTGGATAGCCGTTCCCTGGGAGGAATCTCTTAGTCTTAGTTTGATACCATCAATGTTATGATTGTTCTTGCCGAAGGCAGTTGATATATTTCAGTAGATATTTTCATTGTATTTTTGACCCTTTTGTATTACAAATGCATCTGTCCATGAACTTTTGTTTGATCCTACCCAGGAGTGCTTTTGTTAAGAAAACTTCGCCGCTGTTTATTTGAATTAATTATTGTTTCCCTTATAATGTTACCTTTTTATTCAATTAATTAGTGGGGATAATTTTGTTTGCATCTTTTTCACAGTTGTCCCTCGTTATTTTGATATATTTCCCCTACCTAACTGTTATCTTCACCTTCTCATATATTCGTTGGCATGGTATAGGCTTTGTTGGTGTTTTGTTTTAAGTCATTCTCATTTCTTATCAGGGATGCACGTACTGCTGGCTTAGTCAAATCACGAAATACATACCCATTTGGGGTGGACCCTAGCTGGCGTGGAAGTCGTTCAGAACTGGCTTTTCTCAATTCTCTCAAGATGAAGATGTCCATTCTTTTAGGTGTGGCGCAGATGAACTTAGGGATTATATTAAGCTACTTCAATGCGCATTATTTTGGCAGCTCAGTGGATATAAGGTGTCTCTCTTCTGCCCGCCCCTACAGCTTTTACTGTGCTATCACTTCACTAGGATAAGCTCACTCTCCCGGTTGCTTTTAGGTACCAGTTTGTGCCACAGATGATTTTTCTGAACAGTCTCTTTGGGTATCTTTCTCTTCTCATTGTCGTTAAGTGGTGCAATGGTTCTCAGGCAGACCTTTATCATGTAATGATATACATGTTTCTTAGCCCCACTGATAATCTTGGTGAAAATCAGTTGTTCTGGGGCCAAAGACCACTTCAAGTATGTTTCTGGTGACTTAACTCAGTGTTTCTTATCGAATTGTTTTATTTCTTGTTCTTCGTCGTTCTGAATTACTGCTTGTTGTATGCAGATTGTGTTGTTGCTGTTGGCTTTAATTGCAATTCCTTGGATGCTGTTTCCAAAACCCTTTATCCTAAAGAAGCTTCACCACGAGGTACCGATTTTGCCTGGCTTGTGTATGATTTCTCTTGGACATTGAGAATTTTATTTACCTAAACCTCAATCTGTGCACAGATGTCTAGAAACGTATCCTTGTCTGTTTGAGTTTCTTCTTTATGATTCAGGATTGCTCCCTAAGCTTGCGGAGCCTCAATTCTTCTCAACTTCCTTCAAACTAAAATTTGCTTAAATTATAAGAACTTGTGACTTTCTATCGGCTATGGAGAGATTTTGTCTGGCTTCAGTTTTCTGTGTTTCGTTGACAGCTATCAAAGTAGCAATGTTTAAGGAGTCCAACAAATCTGCTAACTTTTATCCTGATGATATGATGTAGAGATTCCAAGGACGCACTTATGGTATGCTTACTACCACTGAGATGGATCTCGAGGAGGAACCAGATTCTGCCAGGCAACATCATGAGGAATTCAATTTCAGTGAGGTCTTTGTTCATCAAATGATCCACTCTATCGAATTTGTTCTAGGCGCAGTTTCAAATACTGCATCATATCTTCGACTTTGGGCATTAAGGTTTGTTTTTGGCCATGATTCTCTCTCATTTTCATGAATTATCATTTTCTGTAATATTGTTCCTTGGTTGATATCTTTCATCACCATTGCAGCTTGGCCCACTCAGAGCTTTCAACTGTTTTTTACGAGAAAGTGCTACTTCTTGCTTGGGGGTGAGTTTGGGCATGCTTCGTCTTTACTTTATCGAAGTTTTTTTATATTTCCTTTGTTATAATTGGTGTTGGCCACTCTTCTATATAGATTTGATGTTCGTCCCTTAGTTGACAAATTCATGATCTATTATCAAACTTGGGTGGAATGGGATTTTCTTTCAAGCTTTTGCCCAAATACAAACTTCTGAGACAGGAAATTACTCAGTTCTAAATAAAGAATGGTTTTCATGATATGGAAAGACTCTAGACATCCAGGACCAACGGAGGTTGATGATTTGGGCTTAAGGCAGGAATGAGGCATTAGAGGATACTTTATGCTTTACTACTGCTTTGGTATGTCTGGTTTTGGGTGACATTAACAACCCTTAATAAGATTCTGAGAAGTTAATTACGTAACACGTAATCAAGCAGGTTCTTTACTTGTAGCTTTGCAGTATTGCTTCATGTTCATGTATGATTAAACATTATTCTTCTTCTTCTTCTTTTTCCGTCAGATTTTGCAATCATTATTGTTGTTGTTAATTGCAATCATAACAGGTATGACAATCTTGTTATCCGGTTAGTGGGGCTGGCCGTCTTTGCCTTCGCAACTGCCTTTATTCTTCTCATGATGGAAACCCTCAGCGCTTTTCTCCATGCACTGCGCCTTCACTGGGTAGAATTTCAAAATAAATTCTACCATGGCGATGGCTACAAGTTCAGACCTGTTTCCTTTGCCTCGTTAACAGAGGACGATGATTGATCCGATTCTCAAATACACGAATGGGACTATTTACATAAGCAGGAGGACCATAAAAAGAAAATGTATAGGAAATCCAATTTGGCGGCTGTGGAGTTTGGGTTTGCTTAATGTTATGCTGCCTGACGCCGACATTGCAACAGAACTTATGGGTCATTATCCTATGGCTATGCTACTGTATAAAATTGCTGCCAACAGTTACGGATGCCATCTTTAGGAGGACATTTACTCAAGGTTTTTTTTCCCTTTTTTTCGGGGACAGGTTGTTATTCTGTTTCTTAGAATATAGGATAGGAAAAGGGAAAAGTCAAGGGAGGATAACGTCTACACTAACTCTTGTAAGACCGGAGATTCATCATAGACTCTAGCAATTGGATTTTAGTTTTGGGGTTACACACACAGACACACATTGTTCCGCTGCTTTGGCTGGAACGAGATACTTCGTTCGGAATTTTTCTTGTAATGAATAATGATTATAGAATTGTAGAAATTATAAAATTCCATTCTTTATAGTAAATCAGTTGAATAAGACATGGGAATGTGATTTATTTGGAAAGTAAATGCTTTATATACTAGCATGATGAATCGCCACGGATCTAATGTGCAAAGGGAGTATGAACCACAATAATGGATAAGTTTACTCATAATAATAAGCACTTTTTTGGCCAAAATAATAATAAGCACATTAAATCATTGATTTTGCAGGCAATTTCAATGGTTTTTGCAAGGATAGCTTGATTATTAAAATATTTAGAATATGTTAGATGCTCTGATAAATTAGAATAGGTCAAAGTCACGATAACCAGAAAAGAATTTTAATATTCAAAAACAAGAAATTTATAAATTGTGCCAACTGTTAATAATGAGTAACCCTAGCATGCCATAATCTAAAACATAAGTATCTAATTTGAAAATGCCTTGCTGTACTGGTCAATGGTCAGAACTTGATAACCTTGAAAAGAGCATGTTCCTTGTGATGATAAAAGCTAAAGGAAAAATAAAAATTCATAAATAAAATTTAGGGTGAAGGATGAATGAAAATTGATTTTTTATGCAACTTTTGAAATTGAATATTACCATGTCAACATTTTTCCTTGCTAGAAACCACCACCAATTTCCTTTCGAGATGTGGAAATTACCCAAATGGGTTTTGTATCTTTCAACAAGCTTGATTTTGATTTGATGTCAATGCCTCATGCTTAAAGGGAAAGCGCACCCCTCTGACCCTCGTTTTCCAGGTGAAAGTACGGAGAAAAAGTCTAAGCAGGGCCCAATAAGCATGGATGATTTGGATGGCCCAACTTATTCATCTTCAGTGATCCTTTTCTTTTTGGACCAATCTCGGAACACTCCTTGCAGATAAGACAGGACTCCATTGTCAATCTGGAATAGTAATGTGTCTAGTCTTGTAATTCTAATAAGGGAAAATTACAGTGAGGTCCCAAGTAATTAAAAAACAAGTCCCAGATGTTGTCATTCTCACGGTAGGACTTGTTATTTCAGGCTGCTCAGGTTGTTACTTGGGACTTTATAGTGATTATTTCTCTTATGTGGGACTTGAATGTAATTCTCCCTTCTAATAAACTCAAAGCTCGGCTGTTCTGAGTTCCCGCTTTTTAATGGTTTCAAACACTCCTATCAATCAGCACGCACACTAACCGACGCCCGATCCTTTCACTATCGACGGTTTGAAGTTTGAACCCCCAACATTCCATTGCCATTGCATCGATCGATCATTCTGGCATTAATCTAAGTCAACGATGGATTCCGATCTCTCGCTCTTAGAGATCTCTGTTGAAGACGATTCTCTTCTGCATATTCCCAGGGATAACTCTGGTGTTAACAATGCCTCCACCATTTTCTCTTGCTCTCCTCTTCATTGCCACAGATCTGTTCCTGCTCTTGCCCCTCAAACTGGTTAGGCTTCACTCTTTTCATCTCCTACTCTTTCAATTTGTTCCTTGCCCCCTCCTCATGGCTTTCTATATCGTGCCTGGTTTTTTGCTTTTTGTCTTATTTGAACGTTCCCGCGGCAGCTATCCATCTGTGTTCCCTAACGTATGCAAATATCCCATTTTCTGATTCCTTTTGTTATGATTTTTGTAATTTGGCCGGGTCAATTTTGTAATGATAGAAATAATGTCAAACTTATCACCGGAATAAAGCCTGCCTACTTCAATTTGTACGGCTGATTTAATGAACAATAATATTAATAGTACAATGTGGGTCATGTCTGATCCATGCGGCTTTCATATCCTTTTTCCCTGTTTGTTGGACCGAGCATATACTGATCAATGAAACACGCAGATGGTAGAGTCGGTGCAGTGGGTTTCAAAAAGTTGGAAGCACCAAAGCTTAATGTGGAGCCCCAGCAGATGAAGAGGAAGAAGAAAGTGGGTGGATACAATTTGCGGAAGAGCTTGGCATGGGATCGAGCTTTCTTTACTGAAGAAGGCATTTTCTCCTCCCCTGGCTTTCCGTCACATAAAATGTAGACTTAGTGAAACAAGTTATAATTCATGTTCTGTTCAGGTGTTTTGAACCCCTTGGAGCTGTCTATGATTAGCGGCAATCATAGTACGGCTAATAATGAGTTGACGATGATCGATGAAGAAGAAGAAAATGCAATAGTGGGTGACGGAGACATTGTCGGTGCTTCATCAATGCTACAAGACATTGAGGAAAATTTATTTAAGCCATTGCCAGAAGATAGGAAGATTGGCGCTTCCTCATCACCGGTTTCTCATGCATTAACCAAAGATACGTTTACCTCTGCATCCTTGGTTTGTCTCTACTCTGTAAAGTTTATATAGTTTTTGTTGGAAATATATTTCTTAACGCTTTTTAATTTCCCTTGTTTATCCTTCTGTTCGTTCGATACTGATATACTGATGATACTCTTTAGGCGAAGCGGAAGGTGCTTGCTGTCAATAATACCAATAGAAACGGGTCTAAAGGTGATGCCTGTCCTCGGCCAATTGCTTCATCTTCATATCCTGCCGTAGGTTTTCCACAATAGTTAAGAGTTTCCAATTATTGCATCCGTTTAATTACGTTGTCAGCATTTTTATATTTAGTAAACTATTAAGTACTGGGAGAGTTTGCTTTAACTCCTTTGAAAGCTGAAAAGACCTGACACATCAAAAGCACAGAGAAAAGAATCAAAATCAAAAGGTGCCAAAATACCTCTTCCAAAATCCCATGTTCCCGTGACTACAACCACTGCAAGAAGTGGAGCATTGGGCATAGGCTGCTCAAGAAGAAATCAACATGATCATTCGGGTAAATTTGCCAATCTGCACTTTCTTTGTTTTTCCCTCTTGAAAACATTTGTTAAGAATTTGAGGTTTGACAAATTCAAACATAAGATATATGTTATTATTGTGTAAAGGTGATTGGATTGACCAGTTTAATTTTGAAAGAGCTTTGTGGTTTCAGTGTGGATTTTATATTTGTTTTTATAGTTATAACTTTGACATCAGACTGATCGTTATCTTCTGTTAAATTTGCGTCTCTTGTACAGCTGCTTATGTTCAGAAGAATGCTGCAGTAAAAGGTCCGCCAAGAAACCCAAAAGGCGGGCATATTAATGCAAAGTTTGAAGTGACTGACAAATCTTCAGTCACTAGGAATAGTAAACGACAAGCTGGGAAAGATTTTGTGAGACCTTGAACCTTCAAAGAGGCTGTAAATTTAAAAGCATTCATTATTGGCCGTCCATTTTGTATTCGTTCTGTATAACTTAGTATTCCCATCTGCTTCTTCTGAATATTTTTATCTTCCCAGAATGACTCAGAATCACATCCACCGCCTAGGTTACAGCATCAAGCGGTAACTGAGGCAAGGAAGGGCTTTGAACTCCATCCTCCACGGCGTGATTGCAATACTGGTGAGAAAAAGCAACCCACACAATTTCAAACAGCAAGACCATCAGGCTTACGGATGCCATCTCCCTCACTGGGATTCTTCTCTCAAGTACGATTCCTCTGTTTGGTCGCATATTCCATATTTATATTCATGCGTCAATAGAATAGCAGTCTTGTACGATCTCTTGCTCATTTATATAACTTTCTTGCAGCAAAAAGCCTCTAGTCAACATAGCATATTGCATAAAGGCTTCAAACCTAGCAAACCTGCTGAAAGTAACATTCCTAAATTAAATAAAGTTGAGGTGGATTGTGTTAATGAAGCAAGGGGTCTGCATCCTCCTGGAAAAACTTCTGAAACTGTCAAAGGTGGGACAAATAATTGCACTCCAAATGTAAGCCTTACAGATGTCAAGTCCGAACCATGCTTGCAGGTAGAAGATAATCAGAAAAGAGAAGTGCAATGTTATTCCTTAGGTTCTGGGGAAATAACTGAGCAAGGAAAGGTTGAAACAATTCCAGAGCATGTGAACGACAATGATAAGAATCTTCTTTTAGAAAGTGATATCAATATGGTTGATCGTTTGAAGACTAAGGTTGATGAGGATCAATTCGAAGAACCACAATCTATGTGCTATTCTAGCACAAAAAGAACTTCCATAGGGAAAGATGATTTGCCAACCAGTGCACTGAATGCCATAGAGCACGAGGTAGATATGAAAATGAAGCCTCTCGTGTGTGATGCTCAGATCCCTAATGAAGGTTCGGTGCCACAAGCAGAAAATGGCTCTTCATTTACAGACTGCAGACACTCTGGAGTCTTAAAGGAATACAATTGCATGAAGATGGTACAGGTAAATTCAAGTCTTGGAGATTTTAGTGAAGCAGTATTGGGTGTATCTCGGGAACGAATTCCCTATAAAAGTACTGAAGGGGTCAAAGATTGTGTTGTTGACTTTGATAAACATGGAGCGGACGCGCAACTTCATTTATTAAATGGAAATCTGGCATCTTGTTACAATGACACCAGCCAACTTATTTCAGAGGCCGTAAATCAACAATCACAGTACTTTCATATTGTGAACGGAGGTTACAAGGAACAGTCTGAGAATCTGAATTTAAGTATAGAAGCAGAAATAAATTCAAGAAGTGATAGCGAGTCTCATGTGAACGTTCGCTTGGTTCATGCAACAACCTCATCGTCTCAAGAGTCTCCTAAAAAGCCTTTGCTAGAAGTCATCGATGCCAGTGAAAGTGTGCTCAAAATAGCTGAAATGGAAGACTGCAAGCACACAGGGGATGTTCAGTCAGGTTCTGTCCACAGAAAATCGGTTGATGATGAATATGACCAGCTTATTGACTCAAAATTGATTCAGGATATTTCTTCTAGGGGTGCTTCATTGCATTATGATTTGTCAGTTGCTCAGCGTGATGTCCTTGGAAACTTTGACCAACAAGCTAGGATGCTTACATCTAAAATGAATAACATTCTTTGCCAGAATGAGAATTCAGTAGTAAATCACAGCCCCTCGCATGATGAGAGCGACTCCTTTGAAACTCCTGCAAATGCCAGTTTAGATACGAAAGACTTCTTCGGAGGAGCAGAAACTCCCTCTGGCCTCCATGAAAATAAGCTATTAGCGCCGACAATCACAGAACCAAATGGCGCAGAGAGACGGATTGAAAATTTACGTGTGAAAGATACATCAGTGATGTGCTCCGATGAAAATCCCCTGATTTGCAGCCGCAATGACAACCCCGGTACTTCACTTGGCAAACATCATTCTCCACTAATGGTTGAAAGCACTAATAGAGAATCACCTCCGGAGCTTCGAAGACAGGGACTTGTAGTGGATGTTGATTTTTCGCAAGTTTACTTGAATGGTGATTTGTTCCCTGCAAACAATGCTTGTTCTGAAGAGATCAGAAGTGAAATTTTATTTGAAGGTGTGTCAGAACAATGCAATAACAATGCAAGTGAGGATATTATTTTCAAACATCATATTCAGGCTGCATCTATGATTAAAGATGGAAGCTTTGACATGGATGAAAGGACAAAGCATTTACCAGATGGTCCAGATCAAGTTACTGCTGAAACTGTTGAGGTTGACCCTAATCATAAAGTTAATGAATCCAATATAGCATCTTCTATACAGGGGAATGAAGGCCAGATTGTTGATCGGAAATACAATGAACGTTGTTCGTTAAGTATAAGTTTGAAGTCACAAATTGCAGATAATTTGATATCCCATGAACAAATTCCAAAGAGCATCGAAGCCGGTTCGTTGAAGAGGAAAAGTTTGTCAGAAGAAGCTGAAATTATTGTCTCTGGCAAAGATGAGATTTCTAATGCCAATGTTCAGAATCAGATTGCAGAAGATAGCGGCGAAATATTTCATCTGTGAGTATCTCTGATGTGGCAAAATTTCTTCATATGTATCTGTTTTCTTTTCAACCTCAGACATCGGTAATCTGGATGCCTCGCGAATCACGATTTGTAATCCTCAGTATTTTGAATGACAGTAAGAAATCCGGAACCAAAAGGAAGCAGAATGTCTCTACAGTGATTCCTCTTCAAAACGTTGCTCCGTTTTCTGATGAATGGTTAGCTGCAATGGAAGCTGCTGGAGAGGTGACTTGAATATAAATATTGACCGGATCCGCGCATACATTGATAATTGATTAATTCGTTTTCTGATATTGCAGGAAATTTTAACAATGAAAGGTGGCGCTGTCCAAAATTCTCCCACCGAGAAGCCTCAGCATGAACCAGGTCCATGGTCCCCGGTAAGGTCATTTTGCTATTTTAATGTTGTTCCGATCATATAAAGTTTTAGATTCCGACTCACAAACTCTATAATCTCGTTTAAATTTGATTCTTTTTTTTTTTTATTGGTTTATTTCTTGCTGAACATGTTAAACATGATTACTACTTACTGCGGCATGGGTCTTAATTTCCATGTTTCGCTTTGGTTTGCAGGTAAGACGTAAAAATCAAGCAATTGGACCATATGATTGCACCAAATACACCAATATGAATATCCCCCATTCCTGTCAATAATAACTACTGAAATATGATCCTTATAATCTTTGAACTAACCATTTAAGTTCTCATTTTTATTTTAAATTTTTGGAGCCATTCAGACGTTGTAGAACCTGCTGTATTGACTATGGAGAACCGAGTGCTTGGCAGATAGAGTTTCAATTTCCACACGACTTGCTCTGAAAAAGCTTCAGAGGAAAAATAAGTGTTGGAGGTTGAATATTATGCAATTTGTAATTTGTAAATTGTGTATGATACACTGCTTTTTTATATACTTTCGGCCTGTGTACAATTCTTTTGATTCTTTACGCAGTGATCCTCCACATGCGCAAGATGCCATCAAATTCCAAGTTAATCCGCATCTTTCTATATACTATGCAGTCCAAAATAAGTCAGTTACTATTTATACGCCGAATGACTTGTACTAAATTTTACGAACGTACATATAAATTATTTGTGTCCAAAAAAGAACGATTTAGATACTTTTTTAATTTCATTTTTATTCAGTTGAATATAATTGCAATCTGAATTGTGAGAATCACTAAGGCATTGACTACCTATAGGGGCAGAACTACTATTATTCTTCTATTGGTGAATAAAAATTTAAGTAATTTAAGTCTTAGGGATTCATATGAATATTCAAATCTTACCAATTGAATTTCTTACTTTAAATAAAAAAATATTATATATATTATCATTTTACAGATTTAATGAAATTTTATTTATAATAATACAAGGATGTTAAAAATATTAAATGAGATTATGATTATCACATAATTCTTGCAGCTATACAAGTTAAAATTCAGTGTTAAAATGTTTTTTATTTTATAAGGATTTAATTCAGATAAAATAAAACAAACACCTGATTTTTTTTCCTGCGTCGAAACATCTGATTCAAAATTGACACCTCGTGATTTTTGCTCCTGAAAATAAATCAACCATGGGGTGACCCAAGGCTTTTTAGGATTTACGTTCCCTTGCCATAGCCAACACTTCCCGCTAAAAAGTAAAAAGCCAAGCTCCACGTCCCCCCAATATTCTGCGAAATTAATTTGCCGAAAGATATTTTGAACTCCTAACCCTTATTTCCCTCTATCTTAATTTAAGAGGCAGCATAACGAAATGTTGGGAAATATCCTTTAAAAATTATAATTACCGGTAGTTTGATTTAACTTTTTAAATAATGACTAGGTAATACTCTACTCTCGGCGAGTCGAGGGGTATTATTATTTCAATGCCATTCAACTTCAAATGAGATGAAAATTACTTGAACAGTTGTCCCATAACAGAGAATGAACATCACAGGAAACTACCATGCTATCACTGTTCAGGTCAGGCAAAATACATATCTCAAGATGGGCATATCTTAGACATTCTTCCTGAAAACCAAAAGACCAAAATAACAAGATATGGGCGGAACACTTGCCACCGAGGCGGCGGGCAGTTTTGTCTCGATTCCAGCTGCTTATGCCTCAGCAAACCTGAAAAGCCAAGCTTTGATTTAAGTTTCCTGCTATAACTCATGACAAGCATAATCAAATAATAATGTTGAAATTACACATTCCAAAACACTTGTTTCAACGCATCAAATAGCCAATATTAAAACCAGCAAATCAAATTGGAACGTCTTTCTAACACTCATGGAATGTCATGAAAAGGTTTTATTTTATTCATCTTGTGACCATGTGTAATCACCACTAGTACTACAGTTCTCATCCTTCAAGTCAACGATACTGGAATAGATCCTAAAATCACAGCTAACATAAGTTTGGGAAAGCATCTTCATCCTGAATTAAGATGAACAATTAAAGATGAGACTAACCCAAGTTCAGAGAGTTTTAGATGTGCCTCGGCATAATCAGCAAAGAACGCATCTTCATCCTGAATTACAGTAATAAATCGGCGAGAATTAGCAACTTTTTGTTAAACGTCATTACAAGCAAATGCCATATAAGAAAAATGCGAATAATGTACCCACCGCTGCATATTTCTCAACCAGCGGGCGGAATACTGGATCAGACAGGAGTGCTTTGTCAGATGGCAGCTGCAGGAGGCCTTCTTTCTCACCAGACAACAGTTCCCTGCAATAAACGACATTAGTGATAATTGAAAATGGAGAAAAACCCAGGGGCAACGCAACGAGTCAAACATACTAACTTGAAATACGAGTTGTCAAAAATCAGAGGGTTGGACGTCCAGGGACCCTCAAATCCAGAACGTTCCTTGTGGCACCTTCCCTATCAGAACAGCAGGTGTAAATATAAGAATAAACCTATGCGACAATATGCACACATGTACACAACACAACAATTCTATCGATACTACCATTTATGGAAATGAACTTACAAGGGTGTGACCACCGGAGAGAGCAACAATATCTTGATCGCTGAGCCCCATATGATGGCCAAACACATCCCTCAGATGATCAGAACCTACAGCAAACAAGACGTAAGCCCCAGAAATTTATCAACAGAAGCAGATCTCTGTACTTTACTTATCCCATGTACTTACCCTTAGTGGCATCAGGCAAGCGGCCCTCCGGAGGTGGCTCTGGCTTGTCCTGTCAAAAAGAATGTATCACTGTTAGCCTCCGAACTAAAGCACAAACAAAACTGAAATAGTGCTATCACGAACGCAAGCAAACAGATCGAATGAAATTGCAAAACAAGGATTCAAGAAGTTACATATTGATCTTCAGCGATTTGCAAAACAATAATTCTCCAGATTAAATATTGATAATCAGTACAGTTATGATTTCATACGGTAACACACGCAAAAATGACCGGAATTATCTAATCTACCAATTTCTGTACAACAGTCCCATCCTTAACGAACGCGTTAATTCAAGAATAAAATCCAGACAACTTTCTCAAAGGAACAGGGAAAATACCCGCAAGAAAGGACATGATCAAAGATCATGGATACTTCTTTCTTAGTTTAAATCGCGACCAATGTAAACTATCACAAAACCTTTTCATTGCCTCACAAAGACAATCGAAGATACGACAAAACGTATGTGAGTTAAATAAATAAATAACGAAAAAGTATAAGATTAAACATCAGAAAATAAGAGGAATGAAGAACGGTACATGAATTCATATGGTTTATAAGAAATTAATCAACAAGGGAGTTTAGTGGGGACAACCAGAATAATTGGCCATACCTCTCTTCCGGGGTGGAAAGGAATTTCGGGCCCACCAGTGACCTCGACAGCTACCACACCAGCCAGCTAATTTGCCACAAAACGTGAACGACTGTTAAGTATGTAATGAAAAATAGCGCAAATAACAAATTCCGCCAACGGTTTCTCACCTGGTAGAAATCAGCGTAGGTCAAGATGGGAAACTGCTCCTTGATGGGCTCCAAAAGCCGAACAGCAATATCAAGCCCGTTGTTGGCCCCGTGAGCCAGTTCATTTGGGTGTTTGATGGTGCCAAAGGGACCACCGGTCTTGGTCTTCACGTCATAAGTCCCAGCAGAGTGCCACCTACAGAAGGATGAAACGAAGTCAAGTCACAAACTAACGGCAAGCCACTGCAGCGGATTCAAATGTAAACGATCGGGCATCTGAGTTCTTTCTGTCAACATTAAATGCAAAGCGGAAACATACGCCAAACGGAGCATGATCGGAGCACAGTTCTTCTCGGCGATCAGACCCCTGAGCTTCTTCTTGGCCTTTTCCACGGCCTTGAGATAATCGGCACTAACGGTAGGGTACGATTTGCCCATGGTTATAACTAACGAGAGAGCAAAGCCAGAAAAACAAAGTCAAATTTTCTTGATCCATAAAACCGATCCTCATTCAGATCTCAGAAATGATAATGAAATAGCGTAAAAATTACGACGATTTGGACAATCGATGAAATGAGATTTGGAAGCTCAGGCGGAGGCAATATTGCAAGGGGCACGTACCTGAGAACTGAGAGGAGCTGAGAGTTGAGACCAGAAAAGGGAGCGCACAACCCTAACACAAGAGTGGCACGAGGAGAGCACAAGCCACTAGTCTGAGATGGAGAGGTAGATATAGGGAGGGGGCAGCTAGGAAAGTTCTAGTAGATTATTATGAGCCGTTGGATATCCTCAATCCAGCGATTGTTAATTTGTTATGTTGATTTGAAAACTGAACGGGTGGGATGGATGGAGACTCCCCTTGCGTCCCAGCAAGACGAAAATGAGAGATGAAAAGGTGTTTTTTTTTTTGGTCAGAAAAATGACGAGGAAGAAAACGAGGGAATGTGAGGGCTATACTGTGAAAAGAGAGATGCCAATGTCAAGATTATCAGATTGTACGAAATGGCGAGATTTGTTGACGGACTTCATCATTTATTGGGAGTTAAATGACAAAAGCACCCTCCAAAGGACAATGAAATTAATTTCTCCTCAACAGCTGGGAGAAAAAATGTAAATGGCTTTTTAATGACTGCCATATTTACCCAAAAGTTGATAAGGATTTCGCTGATGTTCGTAATTCAGGGTTTTTGAATCATAGCATTCGAATTACATTGTTTTACAATAAATATGATTTTTTTTCCTGCAAAAGGAAAAAGATGATTTTAATATGTCACGGGGATCGGAAAGTAATTCACCTCATGACTGGCTTGGAATGTTCGCAACACCATATAAATACCGGCTGCCTCCTTCGTGTGAACACGCCCTCCCCCGGAAAGATTCCATTTTGTGAGCACAACTAAGATCACCGGTTAAGGCACAGTGCCGCGTGCCCTTTCTCTCTTCCCTATTTTGATTGGTCCACGCAAGCGGCCCTTGGGGGAATGCGCGCGGCACATAGATTTTATCCTGGAATATCCAAGTTTCAACTTACTCGCGCAAATTTTTTTAACGAAGGGCTGTGTCGTGAAAAAAAAAAAAAAGAGTGCTCCTTCGTTTTTAATGTACAAGTAAGTTAGAAAATTAATACTAATTATAAATATGAGATATTAAATTATTTCATTTCTCTTGTTTACTATTTTTCTCAAATTTTTAAATTTTATACATAATCTAATAATATGTGGAGATATTTATAGTGATTAAATCACAATAATCAATTTATTTAAATTTTTTAATGTACGAAAATTAGTTACTTAGCTTTTACACATATTATGGAATATTAAAGGCTTGTTTTGAGTTTTTATTTTTTATAAAATGATTTTCAAAATTTGTTTTAAAATTTTTTAAAAAATGACATTTTGTTAAAAACTAATTTGACTAAATTAAAAAAATTAATTAAATTAATTATTTGTAATAATACATATTATTTTTTTTAAGATAATCTTATTAATCATGTGTATTAACTAAAATTACTATTTGATAAAATTTATATCACATACAAGTACTATAATATATAATCTCTTCGAGGTGAGAGACAAAATAAGTTGAATTTTTTATTTAAAATTAAAATATATATTAAATTAACTTTTATATTTAAAAAAAAAAAGAAGAAGTAGTAGTTTTAAAATCCATTTGGATCATGTCCACGAAAAACTTGCGGTATTGACGTGGCAGTCCGCATTCACCGAATCGACCATCTCAAACTTGCCAATCAAAAAGTTTCCCAGCCAATCATCATTCTCCCGCGGGGGAGAGTCATTGTTTATGCCCACGATAAGTGTTACTGAGTCGAAATGCAACCATGCTGATTTTATTCCATACTTAAATTATAATGTCTGCCAATCTTTTATAGTTTTTATAATTATTATCTAGTGATTATTTTAGTGGTGCCTTAAAATATAAACACAAATCATTCTAGTTATTTTAATTTTGTTATCATCATACTGGTAAAAAAAAAATATTACCTCCGATCCTTAATATAAGATCCTGTTTGATTTTTATTTTGGTCTTAAATATAATACCCAATCCATTTTGTCTCTCGTATTTATACATTTTTTTCCAAAGTAGCTTTTCTAACAATAATAGTTATAGTCAATACACTTGATTAGCAAGGATATTTTAGGAAAGACAACACCTATTTATGACAAATAACTAACTCAACTTATTTTTTTAATCTCCTCAAATTAGTCAACTAGCTCTTATAATTAAGACGGAAAGTGGGAATAATTTTGTTGTCATCATGCACACACGCGCATGCAGGTATATGCGTGTGTGTCCGTGTAAGTGTAAGGACTCCCCAAATAGCAGTAACAGTGATCTTGTTTAGAGATAGAGGCCACGTGCACCCTAATGACGCTGAAATGAGAAATTACATATGAACATAAATAAATAATTGAAATTCTTAATTATAGTAGATGTTTTGTTCGACTTCACACCACTTTAAAAACGGCAATCTAGATTCCGTTCACGACAAATACGTATTTGGTTGGCTCTTAAACGCTGACATTAGAACTAAGGGGGAGAAATATCATTATATTACAATTTTTTAAGACTATAAGTTACTTCTTTAAAAATCGGTAGAATAATACGCATAATATACTACTTCCGGTTTTTAATATAAAACTTAGTTTGATATTTATTTTAGTCCTATATATAAAATTCAAATTAGCTTTATCTCTAATATTCATCGATTTTGCTCTCAAGTAATTCTTATAATAATTGTTTATGTTAATAAATTACTACTAACAGGTAATTCAAATACACATGATTGATAAGACTATTTTACAATAGACAATACAAATAACTAATTTAACTATTTTTTTAAATTATTATTTATATTAAATTCCGTATTAATGATCTTTCTCTTTAAAGTATGGACAAAAATGTGAACAATTCTATTCCCAGCAAGGGACCATACGTTGTCCTGAAACAAACGCTGCAAATCCCTACTTCCATACACAAATATCACATTTGGATTCAGATGCCCCTCGCCTCCCTTGTTCCCATTACTAAGATAGTCTCATTCTCTCTCGTCTCTGCGTCATCAGTAGTTTGGTCTCCTCATAATCATAACTGCTATTATCACAAAAAATTAAACTTAAATCACTAAAATTTGATTTGAAGAGTCACATATACAAAGTACTTGAAAATAGAAAAAATAACAACTTCATAAAATATTAAATCTCAACTATTTATTTTTTATTCAACGATAGAGATGTATTGAGGAAAAAAAAGAGGAAAGGGATCTAAATTCATAGTAGTTGATAGGGACCAGTCTTCTCCAGGCAAGCGACCTTCCCTTTTTTCATGGCGCGATCATGGTTTTTCTTAATAATTGTTTTTGTATGCATTGAAGGCATTAATTAGTTAATTAATATGATAAAATATACAGAAGTTCGCGAGGAGGTTGTTAGAACACGTAATTTAGAGTAATAAATCTGTTATTTGATGCTCATGCCATCGAATATAGCATCAAATTTTTTTCTGCCGTCAGAATATATTATTAAAATTAAAGTATACATCTCTTCAGTAACCACTTCTTTTGGAAAAAAGAACACCCTTTTGTCATTTAGGCTGACACGAATAGTGGGAAGTAGGAACCATCCTTCTTTAACCAACCGACTTTGTAGTTCAACATGAAGGCTCGGACTTTGCTAATTAATTATTGAGCAGAACTCTTCTGGTAACATGAAAGGTCCACCACCTAATCGAAGTTCAGGAAGGTGTACAGTTCTTCCTGCGACCGCCGCACGGTGTGTTCCTTTATGTGATCGTCTTTGCAGGTTGAAGTTGTGTGATTTCTCCTGCAAACTTCTGTTTGTTTGTTAGGGGCACGCGGGCTTCAAACTGTCATCCCCATGCCGGAGGGTTATTGGGTACAAATGGACCATCCAAGGGAAAACCTGACACAGTCAGTAGCACCCTAGCCTTTTCTTCAGCTGTTGCAGGCACTATTCAGGCTTCTGCATTGCCCAGTGATGTGACCCGGAAGTCAACATCAGGTGATGAGAATTATATTATGCTGCCTAGAGTAAAAAGTGAATTGTTGAATCCAGTTAGACTATACAACAGTATGGATAATCTACGCAGAGAAAGTGAAAAGGCTGCAATTTCCAATCTTTCTGTACCTGTGAATTTGAACAGTCAACCGTCTTCTCAAACATTACCCAGAGATAGCGATAGAGGAAATTGTACTACAGTGAACACAACAAATTCTACTGACATCCCCAAGCAGTTGTGCAGCTCTGGTCCTGATGAAGCCATTGCTGCTACCGATGAAGAGATTCAGCACCTGTGCTGTGATATGTCCTCAGTTAACATTGATAGAGATGCCCAAAATGAAAACCATGTTATAACCAAACCTAACAGCCCTCCATCTGATGGCGAAATGACAAATTTAGAGATGCACTTGCTAGCTAGCAAAGCTACTGCATCCAATAATAAGTTGTGCATTCCAACGGATCAGTGTGATTGGAATTTGGAAATTAGATTCACAAGATCATTAAGTATCAAACAAACTGAAGTGGAGGATGATACAACATCTTTTGATAATTTAAGATTGAAGGATCCAGAAGTTTGTTGCCCTTCTTATTTGCCAACATCAGCACAATTTTGTTGATTTATCTAACCATTCCAGCCCTCATCTTCTGCAGCAGGGCGAACCTTGTAGTGCTATAAATGCTGGTTCTTTATCAGCAGATAATAAAGTTGGGGATGATTCTTTATCACATGCATCTAGCATATTATGTAATGGTTACCCTGAGAAATTGATCTGCAGCAGCTCTTATGGTTTAATAAATAACACCATCAAACGTTCTTTAATGCTTCGAGATGAAAGAAATGAGCAACGCATCAGAAGGTTTCCCGCTATAGCAGTTAATGTTAGAAATGATGCTGCTATGGATAAGGGTGAACATAGTACAATTTCTAATATATTGTCAATGAACTTTGGACCCTGGGAGACTCATTGACATCACAAGATTTCGCTAAATTGTTGGGTGACAACACTTATAACCAGTATAATCCATTAGAAAAATCTGATTCATGGAAAGTCCAGAGTAACAGCCAGTCAAGGTTCTCTTTCGCAAGACAGGAGGAATCCAACATTCAAACATTTGATGCACTTCCATGTATTGGTGTTTGTGGGCAACCAACGACTTGCTCACTCATCCAGAACTTTGCAGAAAGAGACTCATATTTACATAAGTTGAGTATTGGAAATGGTTTCCCTATCAGTAACACTGAAGAATCTGAAAATTTAGGCAGTAGCCACTCTGTTGCTTCTTCTAATGAGCTTCCTGGTGAGTACCTGTAGCTTCCCCTTATTGGCTCATTTTAGTTTACATAAAATTTTCTGCTGGCATTTCCTGTGATTTGGGGTCCTTTTACTTCTTTTTGCTATAATTCTTGAGCTTTTTGTCTTTTTAGCATCTTGCCTTGGAGATTCTAGATGTCAAGTATTATGTTGCCCACAAGTTCTTCAATATGGGTTCTATGACATTGTGTTAACTTGACATTCTGAGTTTATTTATTTTCTTTGGCATTCAAGCTTACAGATAACTATTTTCCCCCAATTTTTATTAGTGATAAACTGACTCGGTTACAGGCTTTCTGCATCTCTTTTTCCTGATTTTTTGAAGAGTCAAGTAATAACTCAGGCTCTAGAATTTTGGGTTATTTGTTAGCATTCTGGCAAAGTTAGTTATTGGCCAACTTCTTGTAATTGCTACGGTAACTCAGCAGTCTATAGCCGTTTAATTACTTTCTGTCTACAATGATTTATAGCTGTAACAAGAGCTCAAATTACTGCTCCACCACGATTTTCTGCTCCAAGGAGGGCACCACCACCCGGTTCCTCTTCTCATGCCAGAGTTGAACAGGCTTTTGAATCCTCATCTGGTTGGTTGAGATTTTTCTCTAGGTATATCATTTTGATTTTTATATGGCAATTGTTCTCCACTTGACAGGGGATTTCTCTAGGTGTATCCTAGGGAGTAGTGAGCAAAAGAATAAACGTTTGATGGAATTGACTCAAGGGAAATTATTTTGGCTGCAGCTTCGTTCCTTAATAGTGTTTGCAATTTATTTCGTTGCTACACGATGCAACAGGGAATGTGCGCACTGTATTATTCTGCGATATATGGTTCATAGTCATATATATTCAGATGCTAGCGTTTCTTTTAAGTTAATCCAGCAGTTTTTCATTAATTCCCTGCCTTGCTTATTTTCTATTGAAGGCTTATTTTCTTCTTAAAGATGCAAAGAAATTCATAATTCATTGTGCACGCAAGATTTATTTATTAGCAAGGATAAAAAGCTCGACCATGCTATTTCAAGGGGTCTATCCTCAAGAAACATGTTTGTTCTCAGGTTCCAGCTGCGGTGTGAAATGTCATATTGCAGGATGCTACCAAAGCTTCTTCCATTTACTTGAAAAAAGAAAGTGGTCCCGCATTAAAAATAAAAATTAACCTTGACCTTTGAATTTAATCGATTCATTTTCTCAATGATGTTACAGATTTTTGAAGTTGACAACAAAACTGGGGCGAAACTCGCGCGGCCCATTGGCGTCTACTTTTTTGACACTTGACTTCGGACCCCTGCAAACGTACAAGTACTTTCGAAACAAAAATTTCTCTCATATTCATGGTAAAAAAAATTGTCTTTGGACCCTTGCAAACGTATAAGTACTTCGGACCCTTGTAAAATATATAGGCGGCTGTACTGCTCGTCTTATAAATAATGTGACTTATTTCTAGATTTTATGCAAACGAACATAACTTTAATTTTTTATTTCAAAATGGATCCTTTCCCTTCTTTCTACTCAATTTTCGGTTAACTTGTATCCAGAAAAAGAGTGGAAGAGAAATAGTAGGCGCTTTAGGAAGACCTAAAGAGACGAAAAAAGAGAATATGTAGGCTTCATTCAATGAATTTACCCTCTCACTCTCTAAATCAACATAAAATATAAAATCTGGCCGAAATAGTATGTTTCATTATCCAAACCTTTAGGTAGAGTTAATTTAATTGAATTTCATTGCTTCCATTGATGCTTTCAGAATGACGAGTACCACTGACCTCTGCCTATGTGCCTAAATTTGTGAAGCACGTGGGAGATAAAGTGAATTTAGATTATATATTTAAGACTAAATTAAAAGTTAAATCAGCTCTTATATTAAAAACCAGAAATAGTAATAATTTAGGTGCCCAATCTAACACAGTCTGGCTTAATGAAAGAGGCTAGTCTCTCAGAACATAACAAACCAAGGTTACTCGGGTATTATTTGATAAAACATTTAACATGTTCTATTAATACAAAAACTATCTTAAAAAAATAGATAAATATGAGAAAGAAAATAGATTGATGTCTTATATTTATAATCAAATTAAAAGTCAAACTAACTCTTATATTAAGAATCGAATGTAATATTAATTTAGGCGCCAAATCTAATGCGGTCTGACTTAATGGAAAATCTCTCATAATATCACAAACTAAAGTTTGAAATTCTGTTAGGAGAGGTGCTCATATATAGTGTTTTGAATAAAATTATCTCTCATAAGATGATGCCTATGTGTAGGGAAAAAAATAAGTGTCCAAGGTATGTATTCTGTTCTTGAGCTCCAAGCTTGCAAATAATACCAAGGAAAATCAGAGTAATCCTAATCAAATCTCTAGGGAGCAATGACGTCCAAGAGGGAACACTTTTTGGTGGGTCGTAAGCTGAAAGATAAAGTACTTGTTTGGAATTACTTTTAAAGAAATATTTGTAAGAACGTTTTATGTGAGGTAAGATAAAATTTATCTTATATATTTATTTCATATTTTATAAATTATGATTAAAATAAAATTTCTCTTACATATTTATTCCATATTTTATAAATTATGATTAAAAAATTATTTATGAACTATTTGAAATGAATCCAAAATTGCAAACAAACAAACGTGGGCACCTCGATCATCATCTTCACCCAAAAATAGATTTTTCGATACCCTCCCAAAAACTGTATTTTATTACGATGCAATTTCCTTTGTCACCCAACTAGCCTCAAGTCGGGTTGTCTTCTTTGCATCCACATGTTTATGATTTTGAAATTAAGACGCACACCACCTTTGTCCTTTTCTCTCTTACATCACCCAATCTTTTAATACGCCGACGCTCACAATTTTTTATTTCCCTCTCCCGCCCCATTAAGCAAAGTATTGTAAATTATGACACTGACGCAAAACACATGTTGTTCCACATAGAGGCCAATGTCAAACATTCTCCATTTTGAAGCTTGATCAAACAAATCAAATCCTAATATGAAAGCTTAAAAGAAACAAGACTGGTTATTTTGTAACGCTAGAGCACTAGTGCATTGGGGGGGGGGGCATTAGCATCTCCTTCGGAGGTGGTCCAAACTGGACCATAATTGTTTAGCCAAGAGTTATCAATCACGAGTCAGATCTCAAATTATACGTCGATCAGTAACTGAATTATACAAAGCAATTAGATCGCAAACATTTTTGAGGGGTTTGTTTTTTTCATCTATATCATTATTATAAGAGAGGCTGAGGCTAGGGGGCTGCGTGCGGGGACTTCATCTGGCAATGTTGAGTTGTGTTGCCTCCGGCTGCACTAGATGGATCAAAACAGATATCACGGGGAACTGAGGTCAAGCTCAGAGATTTTGTTGGAAAGATGGTAGCCAATGGAATGGTAGCTGAAATTGAGAATCCTGATGATGCTGCAGTAGAGAACGGTGGTAATGGCGTAGCAGGAACCTGGCCTTGCGTTTGCCAGCCCCATTGAGGCAGTCCTTGTGAATGATCTCTACTGATTCTCTTAACCCTTTCCTGCCAATTTTTTCCAACATAAAGACAGGTTATAAAGATCTATCCCAACGATAGAAGATATCATCATGTAATTGTTCTCTCAATGCTGCATTACATGCTAGGTAACGAATACGGTCCCCTGGAAACATGTTATTCCAATATGCTGGAGGAACTTTGGTGTCAAAGTTAGCACACTCAATATCTAATCATCAGAAAATTAAAATGACGCGGTCACTCACAAGGAATGTTTTTATGCATAAACATGCAACATATCACTTTATCAAAAGATCAAACGAATCATTGTTGGTGTTAACCTGGATGTTGATAAAGGCTTTCTAAGATAACGTAACAGCACAGCCGTTTCCATTCAAACCACATGTTGCTGTTGGCACTCATTCAAATTTCTCAGATTTTGTTATTACATGTTCCGTACCATTAGCAGGGAAACCCACATATTCACAGAAGGGTTCTAAAGCAAGTAAAAACAAATAGAGAACTCCATTGACCGTCTCGAATATAAATTACACCAAAAGCACAACACACATATTCAATATGTAGAACTTCGGAACATAGAGGTCAACTTTCTAGTGCCACCAAAAAAGAAAAAAAGAAAAGAAGAAGAAGCAGCATTCTTAATTGTTCAAAGCGGCTAGCGAGAAAATCAACGTCACGGTTGTTTACTGAGAAACAAGTAGAATAATCTGATTGTAAATCCATACACCAGACAATGGAATTCACCTGGTTAGGAAAGAAACCAGGATAGACGCCATTCCATGCAAAAGGACGCTCCTCAGTACCAACTGGCCTTTTCAGCGATGGATCACCATTTGCTGAATCAATATTGATATCCATCTGCAGAGCAAGAGAAACCATCCTTATTATGACCTCAATGCCAGAAATACGATTTCCCAAAGAGAAAAACTTTTTTTAACAAATATAAATGATGCCAACAAAGAGAGGGATAGGGGATTGTCAGTAGCTACATGTGAACCTACTAAGTTCAAAAGAATGCTGCTTGCAGATTAAATTCCCCTTCGCTTCATCGATAAAGGTTGTTATAGCACTAGCTCGAAAGCTTTAATAATACTATCAAACTTTGCTTCTTATATAACGTGCGATAAACCTAAAGTAATTGTTGGCCAAAAAAACCTAAGAAAATAAAGCTGTATTATTCAAATATACCCTTGAACTTCTTCCAGTTAGCATGTTGTAAGGGATAGGTTGCAACTGAAGGCCCCTATTTTCTTCTAGGCCACTGCCTGGTGTAGCTATGCCCAATTTGAGGTCAAGATTATGACCGCCACCTGATGAAAATATTTAAAACCCCATTTCATGAATGAACCTTTTTTAACACCATGACAATAAATGGAAAATCGAACATGAAAGTAGAAGATATTTGTTACGACCTTCAGTAATGACCTCAGGCTTCATCTCCCCTTCGTATGTTCTTAGTTCAAAGTTGGTCACTGCCTCCCTTCCGTTGCATTTGATAGCTGCCTTATCATAAGCCCTGAGTTCCGGAAAATCAAGAAGGATAGAAATGTTGGATACAAACCTAATGAGCTTATTAATTTGGGGTAATAAATTCAGTAAAGGCAGAATGTAATTCATGTATCAATTGGACCTTGCAGCTTCTACTTCGCTGTCGAATAGCCCAAGATATATATACCTGCACGAAAGCATTGCAATCTCCATAACGAAACACCTTTGCCAATTGTCTCATTGAAACAGGCATCTTAGGTATGCATTTCCAAATTTGGAAAAGTAAGGGGGGAAACATTGAGAACCAATCTGAAGCCAATTATCATTGCATGCCAAATAGGTATTTAAATTTGCAGTGTCCTAAATTTCATAAAATCGGGGTAGATCACTACTTTAAGTTATTTAAAATAAGTCCTCACTTTTTGCCAAGGAATTGTCCCATTCGAGCCTCCCAGCGACCACACTTGTGCAGTGTTACTCCTCGGTATTTTGAGCTCCCCCTTGAGAAACCAGTACTCTGGCGACGAAGTATGTGTACGAATTCCTCTTTGGTGAGATTTTTCGTCTGTGGATCATTTACAAAATATTGAAAAGTCCACTCAGATGCATCGTCAAGACTTTCTTTTGTTTTCTTTTTTTGTGAAAAGACTCATTTTAAGTGCTTGTGTTTTCTGTCAAACCTGCTTAAGATCCTCCTCGTAATCATTGAGATTGAAATTGATGTCAGCATCAACTCCCCTGAACTTAATAGCAGCACGGTCGTAGGCTCTAAATTGGAAAATTCCCCAGTCAATTGAGGAGTTCGACCATCCAGCTTTTAAAACAGAAGAGAAAGAAAGACGAATTCTGAAGCTAAGTTATGCGAAGAAAATTTAAAGTTGCGCAAATTTCACCTGGCAGCGGCATGAGCAGTATCAAAACCACCTACAAGCTCCAATACGAAATTTCGTCAAAACATGCTAAAAATAGTAAACCATAAACTATGGTTGATTTAGTAAGGGCATTAAAAAGTCCAAATCCATACCCAAATAGACTTGCTTCCCGCAATCCCTTCACCAGGTAATATGAAAGAAAATAGAAAACAGGTCAGAATGAATTCGGTACCGTGTATTGTGAAAATCTAAATTCAAAAGCAAATAGTCTCTTGGAAGTACATCTGATAGTCTCTGTTGCAGAAACTAGATTTGCCAAACTAAACCGAATCGTTGAACTAAACGACTATAACTAATACAGAGCAACTACGTAAGAGAAACGTCGCAACATAAAGAGCACATACGAAAAAAATTAATCTGAAAAGCCATTTCTATATAAAATTACCAACCAGATATGCGATTCCCATCTTCCAGTCCTTCTGTAAAAGGTGACCCCTCTGTACTGCGAGCTCCGAGACCTTGGACCCCTTCTGCTCTTCTTTACTTGCTGTCGTGGTTGTTGCTGAACTTGGACCATCTTCATCTCTCCGTTACCAACCTGATGATCAAAGGAAAGACTCATCCAGCTCTTTCTCGATGGAAGGGCAGACAAGGACTGACCCTGCCAATTCGCAGACTCGCCGTCCACCCCTTTAGTTTCATTAAACAGAAATAGCTCCTTGGTTGCGACTTCTTGCACGCCTTCCTCCTTAAGGATATCGAAATTAAAGGTGAAGGCGTCCCCACCGCGTGTAGAGCAGGAGTCCTCATCTCCTCCATTGCTGGACCCGTCAGCATAGACATTAGAGGAATTGGAAGTCCCCGATTTCGCCATTTGATTCCCTGAGGCTTCCGTTAGCTCGTCAGAGAACCTGATGAGTTCATCGTTACGAGAGGCATCAGTCGAATCGGCATTCAGATTAAGGTCGAACATGGTGGTTGATCTTCGTGTGGAATCTGATTTTCGTATCCTCCCTTTTACTGCTGCAGTTTATACTATATTATCCTAAACATCACCAGTATTTTTCTTCCCGGAGATGAATTCGAATGAGAAATCGATCCGATGGAAAGCACATCAACAGGTAATGTAAGCAAAAAGCCAGAGAGCTTCGAAGAACGAGGATTCTAACGCAGAACAAAAGAGAAGCGAAACGGAATCAGAAGGTCCTCCACTGCCTCCAAAAACGACGGAATAAGTTGGAGAAAGAGGAAGCGGCTCAGGAAAGAAGGCGTGGGCGGGAAGCTATCCAAGTGGCATTGTTCATATAATCGGCGGTAAAATGAAGGTCGGAGAAGAAATCACGGCCGACTCCGGGATTCTAACGGCACATGGAGAGAAAGAGAGGGATGCGACGTGGGGAGGAACATACGACTATGAGCCCATTCTAAGAGAAGTCGGAATATATAAACATTATCTCTCTGATAGAGAGAACCGGCTGGTTGGGTGACCGGTCGTTGATATTATGAAGCAGATTTTTGCGAACCGTCACTGCTAAACTAAACCTGCTGTTTCCGTCTTGGTTTCATAGACGGAAACAGCCGTCACTACTAAACTAAACCTGGCCGTGTAAGTCTGTTCTGTAAATTTGTGCTACAATGTTTAACCTCATCATATACATTCGGGAGGGTGGTGGTTTGCTTAACATTTTACGTAAACGTTAACATTAGTGATTAGTGATGGATTAAACAAATGAGATTTAGTTAATTGAATGAACGAGGAAAGCGGACTAGTCAGGGAGGGCGGGGGAAGGAGGATTAGTTAATTAATACAAACAGTAGTACGTAGTAGTATTATTTAATAAGAGGGGAGTGACGGAATTGAACGGGCGATATCGTGACACGTCGTGAAGTGACAGCTGGGGAGCACTTGTTTTCAATGAAGATAAAGAAAAAAACGATGTTCCGTTTTAGGAAGGGGAGGAAGAAAAGAACGGTGGAGTGAGTAGAATTCCCAGAGTGTCCTTCTACTCCTCCGTCCCCGTTAACTCAAATCTCTAACACGAGTAACTCGTGCTTATTCTTTCCTTCCCCCGACACTCTGGTATCTGTAGACTGTAGTTAGTTATCCGCATGGGCTCGGCTCCTTTTTCCGTTCACCAATCCGCGCACTTGCATTACAATTACAATCATGCCCTCTCCCTCCTCTCCTCAAAATACTAAAATAGGCGTCACTTTGAAACTTGCTTGCTCGCGGGTCAGCACCGCACTCTTCGCCTCAGCCGGCCGCATTGAGGTATTTCAGTAAATAGCGCTCTGACTATCTATAAATACAGCAACCAGCGTTTTTCTTCTTCTTTTTTCCCCATGGGGGTGGGGGTGGGCTACATGCAAAGCAGTGCTGCACTCTGTCAACAACTAATAATAACGAGCCATACCGGTAACTAAATTTAAAATCTGTTCGCATTTGGTTAAACCGAAACCAGTTTCAGGCTTGATAAGTACCTAAATTATCAGATCTAAATCATTCATATCTTATTTGGATTGTCCGTATTGATTTTCATCTTATTTTTATTTATTTAAAACAATTATTTTAGTAAGTTGAGAATCTAAAATAAAGATAATCTCTTAGCTATCATTCTTTTCAAAAATAGTTTTTTATTTAAAAATAATTAATTAGAGATTTTAAATATGAATCATTCAAATCAGATATAGATGATTCAGGTCTGATGAGCTTATAGTACTCATCAAAATGATGAGCATTGAGACTGCTTCTAGGTTAAACCTTTTATCAAGATATTTATAGCGCCTCTAATCTCTCATGTAGGATTTAGATGAAGGTTAGACTCAGATTTAAATATAAAATTTTAATTAACTTGATTTCTGGTATTTATATTTTTTTCCAAACTATTATACATATTAAAAGAGTTTGCCTTGTGTGGTAGTTTTAGTACAAATTATTTAAAAAAATTATTTTATGAAAATTAACAGTTTTTTAATAACTGATAGCTAATTTAAATAATTTTTTTAATCCGTTCAAATAACTGGTTAGCGTTTATTAATCATATGTGATTCACTGGAGAAATCGTTAATAATAACCCTTCATATTTCAAATGAGAACAGAGGCAGAGAAACCATTCTTGAAATAAGAGGGTCGCAGGAAAATCACCAGATGGGACCGGGCTGATATGACGAAAATATATATTCTCTTTCCCCTTGTCTAATTCCTTCATGCCAAATTAATGAGGCCATTAGTTAAATATGTAAATTCATATTATTCATTTTCTTTTTTTTTAACCAGTATATTATTCATTTTTCTTAAAACAGCTAGAAGCAATTAATTATATATGTAAATTCATATTATTGATTTTCTTAAAACAGCTAGAAAATCAGTACATTGCATAAAGCTTTATATAATTATATTTGTTAGCTGTAACACTAATTTTATGCAAAATCATATATATCTATATATCTGTGTTGCCTTGTGCCACAGTTAAATTAAATTAAGAACACCAGTACAAATGATTTATTTAATAGTTTTTTTTTCCCGCGTTTTGGCTGCAAGATCAAGCAACTTTTGTCCTAAAATGTGCAGTACGAAAGCCAATGGAAGGCGAAGTTCAATTCATTACCCCTCTCAAGGCCGAAAACACACGCTCATCATATATAATAAAACATAACATATAATATATACATGGGATTTGGAACTCGATATTCAAAAATAATTTTTTATGCAATTTTACTCTTAAAAATATTTTTAACCAATATCAAAGCACCCTAAGTTTAAGATATTGAATGTTACTGGAAACATTGTTTTAAGATAGTGAGTGTTGTCAAATAAATATTTGAAGACATTATACGTAGTAAAAATTAGTTTAGACTACTGAATACTACTGAAAAAAATATTTGAAGGTGTTAAATGTTACGTACTTTGCCCATTAATTAACTGTCAAGTCATAAATTCAGTGCAACTCAATCATCATTATATTTTAAAATTAATTGTTTAAAATGTTAGTCATTATATTTCAAAAATTAAACCTGTAAAAAATCAAAGTTATTTCTTAAACACATAGATCTTTAATTTAAATAATTATAACAGCAGGAATTGAGATACATTAAGTCAAAATTTAAGTACTAAATTGTTTGAATATTTGTTGATAGAGATGTCTATTACTCGTAGTTAGTAGCCGGCAATATTTCAAATAAGATTGTTTATAGTAAAAAAATACATACATAGTAAAAAAAAAAAAAATCTAAGTACTTCCGGTCCTAATATAGGACCAAATTGTTAAGTTGGTTTTGGTCCTAATATAAGATCCATTTTCATATATTATTAATTTTCTCTAAATTACCCCTATAGATACTCCTTCAACCATAATTAAGTAGAAGAAGGAGATGTAGTATTAAGAAAGGATTGTGGTATTTTAAGAAAAACGTGTTACATTTCTTATAATTAACTAACTTACCTAACTTTTTTAATCTAATCAAATTAGTTAAATGAGTTTTATATTAAAGACCGGAAGAGTATCCAATTTTAATCAACCCAAGATTATAGAAACGAGGTCACACAGTTAATGTCCTCATGCAAAATCTTGACCAAAATGTGAGGGTGTCTTTATTTGGAAAAGTGGAAAGAGCCTGTCTGTCAACAGATATCCGAGCATAACAAAAAGGGTAGTCATCCCAAGTCCCAACATAAAATTTGGTTAAAGTGAAGATGAAGAGCGATCCACTCGGTTCAGTCAATGTGTTAGCCGTTTGGACCTCTTGGTGACGGCAAACTAGAAGGAACAGTTACCCAAACAGAAAGAAAAAAATCTAAAATTAAAGGGGTACAGAGACCAGAGAGGACCGGGGGACACACAGACACACGAGACGAGACACATTTATGGAAGCTGGGGAGTAGAGATCTAAAAATTGTTTTTTGTTTTGGGGGGGGGGGGGAGGTAGGTGTACGAACGGTATGGTTAAGCGCCGCCCACCAAACGCAGGCTTCATACTGCTCACACCCAACCAATTCCCCCTCCTTGTACGCTACTAACGTTGTAGCCTACCTATATATCTTACTCCCTCACTATTCTCTGCCCTCTTCCCTCCTCCCTCCTCCTCCTCCATTCAACCTCGCGCCCTTCATTAATCTCGCCGTCCCCAATTTTTTATTTCGTTCTCTCCACGACTCCTTCCTCTTTCATTCCCGCTTCCATACTCCACCACTAACTTAGTAACTATATTACTCCCCCTTTGATTATCTTGTGGAGTATATATAATTTTTCACCTTCATGCATATATGGATGACTCTGCTCATCGTAATGAATCGCATATATATATATACACACAAAAAGCAGTGGGGGAGGGGGAAACCAAATAATGGGAATGAATAATCATGATGAGGCTGAGCAACAAAACGTGGTGAGTATACATGATATTTGGATGCCTGCTTCCATCATTTTGGCATGCTTTTCATAAATTAGGTCCGGCTCCACATTCTGTAGGTGTAACCAATCATATACGATCCGGACTTTCCGTGAGGCAGAGTAATAATAGGAAATTCAGTCTTGCAGATCTAATCGTATTTAGCCAGAGGCTTCGATTATGCGGTTGACCAGAAGAGATCATGGACCAATCTCCAGGGGACCCGCAGCTTTGATACGAAGTGAGGGAAACATGACCCGTTTTTAAGGTTAGCGGAAAAAAGAGCTCAAGGAAACACAACAACGTGAAAAATATCAAGTACAGTGAGGAGATAGAATGGGAAAGCAAAGTTTTGGGCAAGGGAGGCATACGAGGGATGCGAATAAAGGGCGGGGAGCTGGGACGTCACATCACCAAGCAAAATAATGAAGGGGGGAAAAGGAGGAAGCTGGTCCCCACGGGCTTCCTGAAGTTTCTGCCAGCAAGGATAGAATAAGGCCAAAACACCCCAAAAGAGGAAACGGGACACCTACACGTGGCAGTGGAAACATTGCCGGGAATAAAAATAAGGCAAGGAACAAGGAAAAGGGTGAATATTAGTATATGTGCTTTTGTGAGTCGCACAATCATGACGAGTTGCTCGTAAGGGTAATCATGGGCTCCTCAGAAACCTTTTCTGGTAAGCTTCGTTTTCCAAATCGGGCAACCCCTTCCGTATTCACTATGCCACCCAACCCCACCACTCCGATTTGATGCCTCCTCTGCCTCGTCCCCACCAACCAAGTCGTCCGAGCTTCAAATTTCTCGCCCTCTTCTTTTTGTTTTTTTTTTCTCATATTAATTATTCCCTCTCTTTTTTATTTTAAGAACTACTGCTAGTTTAATACATAACCAAATGATGTGTCAAAATATTTTTTTAAAAATCAAATCACACTCATCACGACTAATTAATTCGTCTCAATTCTTTAAATATGTCAAAATTAATTAAATAGGTCTTATTATATTAATATCAGAATGGAATATAAACTGTGATGGTCTTTGTGCCCTGCTACTATTGCAAAATTGCCATCGGATATGCCACTACGTAAAAATATCTGCTTTTAAAAGGCACACATATCCTTTAAAAATAACAGCATATTATAGATTATGCGCATCTTATAATAACAATAATAAATAAATAAACAAACAAGCGATTTAAATTAACGCCAGCGATAGGAATTCATAAGCAAACAGCTGGGAACTTGAATCATAGTTCTTGTGCGTGTGGTAATCTGGTTAGAATGAGCCTAATCTTTATTCTATATACGACGTTAAAGATTAAATTCTACGTTCATTGAAATGTACTCTTTGAACCTTATAAATAAAATTAAATAATGTTGTGAGTGAAATATACTTTTTTTTACCTCATAAATAAAATTAAAATAATAGCATACCAAAAAATAAATAACGAGTCAATAGCAGCAGTGATATATTTTCAATATATTATATTGATTTTATTGACCCGGGCCCTGGGCAATAATCCATGTCTAGATTTACTTATGGGCTTGTTCTCCTTGGTTCCAATTTATCTTACTGTTAAGAGAGCTTCTGACTTTGCCGAACCACTGTTTAAAAAAGTTATTTCTTTCTACAAAGCCACCCTTGATGTGCTTATTAACATGAAAATTAAAACACCCTCTTCTTAAAATTTTGATTATTCGTCGGTTTAAAATTTTCTGTTGACAGCCTGAATATTGACTTGTGTTAGCTGCGGAAAAAATATCATTTAAAATAAGAAAAAAAAGAGTACGAATTCAAACCACGATGCTCCCACATTTTTGCGTAATATAATACTGTGGATGTGGAATAAGCTTTTAGTATGGAGACATGGAATGATGCAAATAAAATTGATGGCCCAGCCAATTATCATACGATACGTACTTGTCCGGTGTCGCTTGCCATCGTCGTCCCACTCTCCTTTTCTTTCCTGTCAAAACTGATGCGTCGCCAGGCTAATAAAAATATAGAAAAAAAAATGTAAAAGTTTTCAGTGTGGGCTCAAATTATATCTTAAAAAATTAACGTGCGTATTAGTGGCTGCATAAAAAGGCATGTGGGTTTTATTCGATCACTCACGCTCTTCTTTTTACGTTAAATGATTTAAATTAATGACTTGATGATTTTTTTATTTTAGCAGACGTCGTTTAAGAATATAAATATACTATATTTCTATAATGGAAGGATTGTATCTGAAAGTAGATTATATTTGAACGGGGCATCCAATTCCAAGGGGCATCTTCTGGTCCAAGATTTTTGTTTCGTCTCTAGTTTTTGGTCCTAACGTTGAAAAGTTTGTCTGTGATTTAAATAAAAAGGCTAGTTCGAATTTCCAAAACTCCATTTTATATGTGCGAATTAATGGCTATTAGCCACCGTAATTAATTTTGCGGCCTTTTTTGTTTTACTCCGTCCTTCCCCGCAGTTTAGGGGCTTGTTTGGATTGACTTATAAGTAGCTTTTCAAACGTGATTTACGGAATACGAGGTAAGTATGTGAGGAGAGTTTTGTCTCGGCTTACGTGAACTTGCTTAAAGCCCGTTTTAACGGAGCTCCAAACAAGCCCTAGGTTATTGTTTCATTCTCGTAGTTGATATTCTTAAAATAGTGATCTGGTTTAGCTGAAGGGGCTCAAATATGTGCAGAACTAAACTAAATATGCACATGGAATTAATTAAATTAGACGTTCCCATATATTATAGAGAAATGGGCCTGTTTCCTTTTTAAAATTTTTATTAGAGAAAATGATGGAATTGGCGGTATGGATTTGCCTTTGGAGAGGGGGGAAAGCGTACGAGGTTTAAGGATAGGGAGACGTGGACGCTGCTTCTCCATTCGTGTTAAAAGCGTCTTATCCACTCGTTTTGTCAAACCTCCTCCCCTTTTGCTTATTTTTTAATTCTCATTATTACTATTATTCTATATTTTATTATTCCCCGCCACCTTTTTCTTTCCTCATTTCACTTCCTATTTTTTAAATGCTTCTGTTCCCCACCCCTTATTCTCATTTCCTCAGTACTCCAATTATTGACGCACAGAATCTACTGAACTCGAATTACTCATATGCCCTTGTACCTCCCCTTGATTGCCAGGCCAGGGATATTATTATAAAACATGTGCCTATGGGAATGGCTTCTTCTTCTTTTCTTTTTTTGGTTCCGAAAAATGTTTAGTTTTTTCCCCATCTTAAAGCCAACAAAATAGGAAAGGGCCAAGGCCCAGAAACATGAAGACTTCAAAAAGTTTGCCGGTATCAGTCCGATTCTAGTGGAAAGAATCACGGCATCATATATCAAACGCACCAAAAGAGGCAACAAGCAACGAATTATTAAATTATTAAAGAAAAGCATCAATATTATTCGGAAGGAAACCAAGATATAAATAGTAGTATTAAAAATACCAAGTACCCCAACCAAAAAAGATGCCACTTGTACGATGAGCCAGGTTGTTTCGTCTTCCGAGTATCTAATTAACTAAGCGTATAATGTTTCGGGGAGATTAAGATGATTAAATTTATTACAAATAGGCAGGGAGCGGCAAATTACTTGTACAGAACAGAGCCGTATCAGAATTAATTATAGAACCGAGGTTGGAATGTATACATGCATGTGCTTCAAAGTCTAGCGAGATTCACGAACTTCTGATTCAGATTAAGGTTCAGAAGATCTTTTTTATTATGTTCAAATCAGGCTGTTCTGCGTGGTCGATTATCCACCGTTTATTTATTTGTTTACGTATATGCTGTATGAGGCGGAAAGACGACCAGATTGTCCTAACGAAAGACATCGCATGATATATAAAACCCTAGAATCGCATTGGAATCTCTCACTTCGGCCACAAGTACAAGGAACTGCGTAGTTTAAGTGCTGCTTTAGGCAAGGGCAAGCATCGAACTCCACAGTTTTATGATTAAAAAGCTCCGTTTCTTTAGAAAAAGAGAGAAGCCATTAAAGTATGTGGTCAATAGAATCTGGATGGAGTGCGCTCTAAGCGATGAAGATACAAATGAATCAGAATTCAGAAAATGTAGTAGGTCGATCCAATCGAGACTCACATGCTGTGCTGTGCCCCTTTTGTCACCATAAATTTTTTATTTTATTTTCTCTTTTATACCATTATACTTAGGAGGCTAGCTCATGTCAGTCTGACAATCTTACCTAGAATGTGCACCCAAGTCATGTGTATTTAGTCTTACTTCAGACGGATTAAAACAGACATAATTCGTAGCTTACCGAGTTTCCATGTGCTCCTGCAAATTGTAATCAGCCATATCGCTTCAAACACCAAAACATGATATTCCATTACCTGTATATCTATTCTCTCCAATCCTTCATATCCCACTTTTCTTGCCTTGTCTCCTTATACCGGCATTCTTGGCAGACATGGAATTGTACCATTCACTAAAAAGACATGTGGAAATGAAGGTAATCAATATAATTCGCAAATAATCCTTTTTGAGTACTCAATACCCAGAAATCCGGGAGGCGGTGGCATTGGGCAGGCCCAAAATTCTCACGGGTCTAGGCCCACCATGGCCTCCTCTCTGCCTTCGTTTGTTAATGAGATGCTCCTCTCAGCCGCCATTACCATACAATCCTGGTCACTTGTCCAAGTTTCCATATAGAGAATATCTGGAAGTAGTTGACCAAGCAAATTGGGCTTTTTGAGGCCTCTGCCTGATTGGATTTCAGTGACATTTTGCCTGGCCCAATCAGTCCCAAACATCAAAATTAAGAGGGAGATTTCCTTTCTTGTACTTTGGAGGGACGTCCCTTAGGGACTGATCACACGGTTACATCTTTCTATATCCCCCCACGCTTCAACACGATCGCATTTCTCTTACTAAAATTAAAAACTCTCCAGTGCAGAATCCCGAAACTCAAATTTTCACTCTGGTAAAAAAAAAAAAAGAAACTCAAATTTTCACTGATCCATTAATTCTCGGTGCCTTGACATTTACTCAATTTCACACAAAACCGCCGCTTCTTCTCATTCTCCTGTTTTTGGTACGAGACGCAGAATGTCAGCCACTTGCTCATCATCTAAGAAGAATATTCCCCTAGCAAGAGGAAAGATCAAAGCTGAAATTTTTAACAGCATTTTCAACTCAGTGCTCTCTGCTGTCTTTGCAACTTGGGCATTCTTTGAAAGTCTTTCCCAAGGGGAAGCGTCAGAGAACCATTGATATGCACTTGTAATAAACAATAATGGCAAAATGGTGCGTGTATTGGTGAATAGAAATTTTCTTTAATGAGTATATTCGTGATGTGCCCCTTAGAAACAATAGCAGCAAAAAGACACTAACCATTGCGCCATCGAATAAATATTCCCTTTAATGGCAGAAAAATTGGGTGCCCCTTTTGCAGTTTCCAAGTCTTTTTTCCTTTCTTTCTTTCTTTGTTTTTTTTTTTACCTAGCCACCCTTGTCTTTGAAAATTACACACATAAATTATATAGCCGAGGCCATGCTACTCCTCCGGTCCTTAATATAGGACCCAATTCTTGAGTTGGTTTTGGTCCTAAATATAAGACCCATTTCTCATATTTATCAATTTTCTCTAAATTACCCCTATAGATACTCTCTCAACCATAATTAAGTAAAAGAGGGAGAGGGAGTATTAAGAAAGATTATTATGGTGTTTTAGGAAAAATGTGTCACTTTTCTTATAATTAACCAACTTACCTAACTTCCTTAATCTAATCAAATTTGTTAAATGGGTCTTATATTAAGGACCGGAGGAGTATTTAACATGGACGTGGCAGCGGAACACCGATAAGGCGACGACTTATTGGATTGGGCTGAGAGTGGCCCATATTTAACTAACCCAAACGAACTAAAGCCTGCTCTAGCTATTTTCTTTTTTAATATATTTTCTATTTCATTGTAAATTACGAAATTGATCCCATTTATTTTATCTAATATTTTTCTACTTAAGCTATTTTACATTTTTATTCTTGCTTAATTTTTTACCTCAATATTTCTTAAATTTTCCAACTTCATTAATTTAACACGTCTGACTTGGTTGGGACCGTAGCTTCCAATTCCATATCCTCTCTATATGCCCAATATTACGTACTCAGGTAAACAACTATTATTGGAGAGATCCCGAGTGAGTGATCCATTAATTCTTCGTCCCCAAGTCACTGAGTCACGGCTCTAACGAATCGCTCCCATCTTCCATTTTAAAACACCCCCACCCAACTCACACTTCAGATCACTCCTCTCCCTCTCTTCTTCTGAACGCAGCCACCTTCATTCACTGCTCTGCCAGTTCTCTTCACACATCTAAGCTCCACCACTATTCCTCACTTCCCCCGCCCTTTCTATTAATCGCTTCCATGGACGGCCCCAAATCCGACAACCACACCGTTCAGTCCCTGCCTCCCCGACGAGGCCAGATCAAGGCCAGAATATTCAGGTCTATCTTCAAGTCCGCCAAGGTACTTGCTTGTTCCTCTGCTGGCCACCGTCGCCGCGCCGAAGATGAGGGACTTCCTCTCTCCTCTCCCTCCCTTGCAACGCCAATTTCCAGTGGCTACAATACAGATTCTTGATTTGCCACTCCTGATTTTTTCCCTCTCTGACGAGGTCGATGCTCCATCGATCTCAGTTTTCGTGTTGAGTTCCTGAGAAATTATGCAAGAACTGGCAGTTCTGGATATTGATCCTCTGTATATACGGAATTATGCAGACAGACCCTGTTGTAATTGGATTTCTACGCGTGTATTGGTTGTATAAACATTATTTCGTTTTTTTTAATCTCTTGTATCTGCTCATTACCCATCAAAATTTTCCCAGATGTTGATGGATCACGGTGTGATTTTAGTTGAAAATGGATATGGGGATGCCCCTTTGAACTTTTTCGTGGTTACTGTGCTCAGAGTTGGGTGAGTTGACCGATTCGCCTCGATTCTGATGATGCAGACGCAAATATTCCCCCTTCTCTCAAGAGTTCTCTGCTCATTCTGCTTATTTATCTGTTTATGAAATCTTAGCTGGAGACAGTCAATGGAGTCTTGTGGCGAACGGTTCTTCGAAAATTTAAGATTTTTTTTAAAAACCATTTTCATGCTTCCTTTGATTTCCGCAATTTGACGGACAGCGAAAGAAGTAAAATGTGCTTTTTTGGGATGTCGTCAGACTGGGAATTTCAAAAAGAAAAAAAAAAGCTATTTATATGACTTCAATCCTTAAGTACATGTAACTGTGAGCAGGCCGAAAAAGAAAAAACCTTAAATACGTGTAGTGTGTATGTGGACTACGGTTGTTAAAAATAAAAATAAAAATAAAAAGTTAAAAGCCGTTTATCCGTTGGGGGACTGTTTCCTTTTCGCTGGGGAAGAATTCAACAGTCGTTGAGTCGATCTTTGGCTTCTCGCAGGGGATAAGATTGTTTAAGCAATAAAACACATCCAGTTGGCGTCACCCTGCCTGTATCGATCACTTGTCCCCCCCCCCCCCCCGGGTTGCCGAGAGAACCAGCTTGCATTAATCAAATCCGGTCTCAAGAAACGAACATAACAACCAAATAAATAACAGTAAAAGCATTTTCGCTTGTCTATACTGGACAGGTCGGAAACAAAAATCTGTGGGCCTCAGATTGAAGGTGTATTTGCACCTGAAAGATCATATTTTATCTGTAATCAGTGGATGTAAGAAGCTACTACGTGGATCACAGTATTTCATAATGCCCCGTGTGAGTATTTCAAGTTAGGAAACAAGAATGAGCAAAGATTCAATACCAGTTAATTGTCACGCTGCGATCAAAACGAAGATTAAAAAATGTTTATTAATCACCATCATTGGATTCCCATAAAAATTTAATCTTCTTTTATTATTTATATACGCTGCAACTGCTTCATGTGTGGACAAGGCACAAACAGGACTTGACCATTCAATATATGTCATCTTAACCTTTGCTTTTTTCTGTTTGTCCAGTAACAAAAATCCAGTTTTGATACTCTGGTGTTTTGAAGAATTCCTGCCAGGTTTTTATATTTTTCTCTCTCATTCATAACTTTATTTAATATCGTAAATATATAAAAAAAATTAATTTGAGACTGGTCTAATAAGTTAATAATTATTTTTTAAGTTTTGATTAATTAAATAAAGTGACTTATACGTTGAATCAAAAATAGTATTTTTGAAGGAGGGGTCATCCAATCCACATAACTATTACTATAGTATGACTATCATAATGTTAATAAACCATGGCGTCTTTTATAATGAAGTTACAGAAGTTTACTTTTGTTTAATGCATAAGATATGGCAAACGAACATGCTCTTTTATGTGCAGACCGGGTCAACGGCAAGTTAAATGCATTCATCTGTGGTTTTTAATATAAAAATAGATTTGATTTTTATCTTATTATAAATATAAGACTTTAATATACTATGTTTCTTATACTTATTTAAGGTAATCCTTATAATATTGATAGTTTTAGCCAATGTATTTAATCAGTAAGGATATTTTAAAAAAGATAATACCTATTTATCATAAATAACTAATTTAACTAGTTTTTTAATGTACTCAAATTTGTCAACTAACTCTTATATTAAAAACAGGAGGCAGTATTTAATAATTATAAACTTTTTTCTGTTGTTTGACCGGCTATAAACCTTATGATACAGCTGTAGCATTTGACGTCTGTGGGACCTGATAGTCGTTATGATGCTCTTATATGTTCATTATTAATTTCAACAATAGCATAATAATAACTTTAATAATTCAAACCCATTAAATACAAGACACTGACTATTTTATCTCTTGTATTTATCCATTGTCATTGTTACAAATATAGTTCTACCCATTATACTTTATCAGCAAATAGATTTTAAAAAAATAACATATATTTATTATAAATAACTAATATAACTGATTTTTTTATTATATTTAAATCAGCTAACTAACTCTTGTACTAGTATACTACTATAAAGGACAGGATATATGCAATTTGGAAAAACGAGTGTTTATTTATGTTTTCTTGACTTTTTTAAAAATAACGCGGCCCCTGGAGAAAACAGAAAACCGACCACGTCTTGCGCTTGAAAATTGAAATGATTCGGTCCGGGGTGCCTTGGTGACTAAGAAAATCTGATTTGAGAATACGTCACGGCTTTCGTCACTGAATGAAGTCAGCCAATGAGCGAACAAAGAAACAGAACATGTTTTTTGGTTTTTTCATATCTTGTGTATTCTTCGTATTCTAGTTCCATTTCCTCTCATCTGTAGTCATTTACTTGTATTTATGCATATGAGAGGATATCTTTAAATTCAGGATAATAAGTTCCGGTCAAAAAAAAAATTCAGGATAATAAGCTCTTCGATGGCTGGGGAACGAGCTTTGATGTTATACATTTCCATGATAAAAGATACTCCTCCGGTCCCAATGTAAAATCTAAGCCATTGATTTGAATAAATTAAGCATGTTAGTTAAATTAATTAATGTGATATATTTTTTTTAAAAAATCGTTAGCATATTCTTATATCAGTTCTTATTCAACTTCAACTACTTCATCCGCATCCACGCACACATATGCTCTATGCATATGCATATTCATAAAACAGTCACGAAGTATTATAATTGCATCAGGGTCAGAGCCCACCAATTCTTTGCCGAAGAGGCTTAGAAGGCCCACATGATGTGGGCCAATGGGCCAAAACGGGTCGTTTGGGCCGGTGTCTTTCCTGGGGCTGGGTCATTTATGGGCCACTGTCCCATCTATCCGCGTATCTGCAATTTTTGGTGATGACTACGTGTTTGTTTTCGCGTAGGAACTCGGACAAGTCTTCATAGTTTACTCCGTCGTCTCGTTCCCACTATGGTCTGTGCTCTGCAGTCCACGCGAGATTTGAATTGGAGATTTGAATTTCAAAGTAACGCATCCAATTTCATGGTGGATTTCCCATCATCTTCAAAAGCTAAAGGCACTCAACGGGCTCCGTCAAAGTCCCCCGACGGTCCTACGCTCCCTTCCTTCTTCCTTTATATACCCACTACTCACCCTCCTTCCCCCTTTAACATTCCCCTTTCACTAAAAAGCTTCCTTTCAACCCCTAACACATGGAAAATTCTGAACCCCTCCCGATCAAATCCATGGCGATTCCCTTTCATGGAGGCAAATACGTGAGATTCAACATTCTTGGCAATCCTTTCGATGTTTATGCCAAATATGCGCCTCCTATACAGCCTGTCGGACGCGGCGCTTACGGCATCGTTTGGTATTACTTCATCTCATCCATCCGTTGGTATACTTTAATTTGTCTATCCCCGTTAATCTTTCTGATTGTTAGTGCAGCTGTGCGACGAATTCTGAGACTAAGGAAGAGGTTGCGATTAAGAAGATAGGGAACGCATTCGACAACAGGATCGACGCCAAGAGGACACTTCGTGAAATCAAGCTTCTCAGTCATATGGATCATGACAACGTATGGCTCTTTTACTCTCTGATTGTACTTGCTTCCCTTTTCCCATCTTGTATCATCCAACTATGACAGCATATGCTTGATTTTTCTGCCCCTGTGCATGAGACACTGAAATGACGGCTTTGATTGCACCTGAACTTTGTAGGCTATGTCTTGTACATGACTCTCTTCAATGGTATTGTGCAGATAATTAAAATTAAGGACATCATACGGCCGCCAGAGAGGCAAAATTTTAATGATGTTTACATTGTGTATGAATTGATGGATACTGACCTACACCAGATCATTCGCTCTCCCCAGGATCTCGCAGATGAGCATTGTCAAGTGAGTATCTTGGAATCTTGCGAATGTAATTCTTAGCGTATAAAGTTGAGATGACGGATTGCTAGCTTTATTTTTTCCTCAATTAATTCACTGATTTTGAACTCAAGAGATTCGGTTCGTAAACAGAATATTGTAAAAGACTCCAGCTTATGCTGAATGTTAAATGTCATTGCAGTATTTCCTATATCAGCTCTTGAGAGGATTGAAGTACATACACTCTGCAAATGTGTTGCACCGAGATTTAAAACCAAGCAACTTGCTCCTCAACGCAAACTGTGATCTCAAGATATGCGACTTTGGGCTGGCCAGAACTACCTCTGAGACAGACTTTATGACAGAATATGTCGTGACTCGTTGGTATAGGGCCCCTGAATTGCTATTGAATTGTTCAGAATATACTGCAGCTATTGATGTATGGTCCGTTGGCTGCATTTTGATGGAGATAATTAGAAGGGAGCCTCTATTTCCGGGCAAAGACTATGTTCAGCAGTTGACGCTTATAACAGA